TAGACTATAGATAATCGTTCATTTTCAATGTCTTAAGATTTGTTACAAAACTAAAAGGCATTACACATCATGTCGATAAAACAAATCATGTGGCGCACTCTATCTGTCGCGTTAATATCAAGACGTTGTTGTTTATTTGCTGGTCTGTCTCGCATCACAAAAAAAAAACAAAATAATATATCCGAACATCTTATTGTCGAACAAAAGAGAAAAATTTTCATTTGTCATCGATCTTTGTAAGTAAATATATATATATAAATTAATGAATTTTTAAGAACAATTATTTCATTTAGATTTGTATTCATTTTTTCTTTGAATTTGAATGAACTATGAGTTTTAATTTGACTGCAAATCAAGCTTCACAAGGTGCAAATTATGCTGGACGAGCAATGAATGCATTTCAAACGGCTGTTAATATTGATAATCAACAGCCTCAAGCTGAAGGAACAACATTTTGGTTTCGTTGGTTTATACGAGTTGTTGCTGTTGTTTCTGGAATTCGTAAATTTTCAAAACAAAAATATTATTATTTCATTTAATTATTGTTTTTCTTTTTCTTCTATTAGTTGCAATGATATGTGGGCTTTTTGGAGCACTGAGTCTATCACCATCCTGTATAATTGCTGGTATTATAATAATGTTCGTATATATATATATATTTTTTTTTTTCGTAATATGATAAGATTTGATTTTTCCATTTATCAATTAGATTTCTTGGCTTTGCATTAATTATGTTTGAAGTACCAATTTGTTGTCAATTCGTACAATATACACAACCGATGGCACAATTTTCTGAACAACGTCCATCATGGCAAAAGGCTGTACTTTATTCAGTGTATGTTGTGAATAAATAAAAATAATATTTTTTGAGTTTTTATTATTATTTAGACCACCTCTTGTACCTCTTATGTTATGTCACTCAGCAACTATTGTATTTGGTTTTATTTGCATACTTGTTAATGGAGCTATACAATTTATGTTAGCTGTTGGCAAAAAGTATAATTTTGATTTCAAAAATATTTATCTATCTTCTTGTTCTTTTTTTCTCTTTTATAGAGCACCACTAGAACAAATGCTTCAACGAGCAGGTGTAGGTGTTAATAATCGTGGACCACCAGTACCTGAAGGTCCTCCAGTAAATATTACAAACAATACAGGTGATAAAGGTTTTAATTTTACTCCATTACCTTAAATCCAAAAAACAACAAACGTCAAATGGATTTCTATTAATGAAAATTAATCAATAAGAAAATATTCCACTTTTCATTATTGTTTATTAGTTTCTATCACTATGGCTTTGAGTTTTATTTCTAATATCCGATTTAGTCATTATTCTACATGTATATTCATTTTATTGTCAACCTTCTTTACCTGTATAAATGGTTACCTTTTGCCTCTCACTAGTTTATCTCATTATTGTTGTTGTTTTGTACAATTGTGATTTCTTTTTTTTTTGTTTCGTTGTTGTTATTGTTGTTGTCATGCTTATTCTCGAACAAAATTTTACATAAAAGACAAACTCTAACAACGAGATTAAGCAAAAAGAAAATAAATGATTAATTTGAAATGATTATTAAGATATCAAAGAAGTACTTTAAATATCAACTTGTATTTAGATGTTGTTTATTAAATTCATAATTATGCAAAACGGATAAATAAATAAAAAATGACGAAGAAGTTTATTATAAGTGAATATTTACATTGCGATAGAGTTAACAAATATCTATTTGTAATTCTATTGAAATAAAAAAATTGAATATTGAGTAATGAAATTCGAATTATACTTTCACATTGACTAAAGTTTATATAACTGATGTTCACAAGGCAGGATAACTCTGCCTTACTTCAGGAGTGCCGAAAATAGACTGCAAGTGACCATACCAACTGATACTCAGAGTTTTTTCGAATGCTAATGGTAGAAAAAATAGTATTTGTATTTCTTATTCTCGTTTTTTTTTTACCATATTAACGCAAAAAATTAACTTATGAGTTTTATATCATTTGGTTCTGCTGATGACACTTACGAGGGAACCACTCGAGGTGATACGTCGCATATGAGATAGGACCCTAGTCATTGCGTAGGACCTGTTGAAACTAGAAGGATTCTTCCGCATATGTTGCCCATTTGAAGTTATGACCATTACACTGGATTTTTCTACCTTTGGCACGGTATTTATAAAAAATCCGGAGAAACGAATTATGACCTAAAACGTTCCCTATAGAGAGCTTTTGAAGTCAATAGGACATTATAAAAACTTCAAACAAAATGAGTGATCTCTTCTCAAGATATCGCATCCACAAAAAACTATGGTCTGTTTTTATTGCACATCTGATATCTCTAGAAGAGACCACTCTTTTTTGACTGAAATTTTTCTTTAGAGATTCTATTGACTTCGGGAGTTGTTTATAGGCAACGTTTTAGATCACAATTCGTTTGTCCGAATTTTTTATAAATACTATGCCAAAGGTAAAAAATCCAGTGTAACGGTCATAACTCCAAAAACGTAGCTCATAAGGAAGAATCCTTCTAGTCCCAGCAGGTCCTACGTAATGACTGATCCCATCTCAAATGCGAGATATCACTTCTGGTAGTTCTTTCATTAGTGACTGTCTGCTGTTAATCTTAATTGTACACATCAAATTTGCTTCCACCTAGTCTTGTCGATGTTCACATTCTTCAAATTCTTATAATCCTGAACAATTAAAGCAATTTTTATTGAAAAAAAACCAAAGATTTCATCTTGAAAATAATGATTTAACAAATGTATCAGTGCGTTGAAGACGTACTTTTTAACGTTACTATCTTTTGAACTCGATTGAAAAATACATCAAGACAGGGTATTGATTTTGGAGAGCATCCTGCCTTATCCGATCCAATGAAGCACGGCAGAGTATGAAAATATCACAACATCTGTGTTATATAACAAATACTATTGTCAGAACGATCATTGTGCATTAGTATGTTAATGTATTTTATTATTTTTTTAATTATGTTTGAATATTCAACAAGAAAAAAACAAATGTCATCTTGTTTTTATTCATTCGAGTGTGCTCATATAAAATTTACTTTTTACTTTTTCTTTTATCTTGAATATTTTATTATACTCGTTACGATACTAAAGACATTTAACGCAAAACTTTTACGTGACTAGGTAAACTTAGAAATTCTTGAATGTGGTGACAAAAGATATACTTAAAAACAACATGTCATCTGACCTTTTTTTTTGTTGAATGATGTTAAAATTACGTGACGAAATAAAATGGAATTGAATAAACAAACTTAAAAAGAATAAATAATATGTTCTTCAATAACCAGGAGTATTTCGAGGTCATCAGGATTAGACGAGGGTAATGACTTGAAAAGTTTTTTGCTATAAATGACCGAATTTTGGGAGAGCAGGGATTGAGCATGTTTTTAGGAATTGATGAGCAAAAGCAACCAATAAAATGCTAGAGAAAAACGGAAATTTTTCAAGATTAAGACAGTTATCCTATTGATCCCTTTGTCAATAACCATATTTAATCAATCGACATTATCCGAGTTGCATAAATTATACTAAAAAATTGTTAATGAGAAATATGTAAAATCAAGAAATTATGTATTTTCATTCTAGCAAGCCTTTATTTTTTTTTAATACCATCAGGAAGTCCTACACCCCTGATAAGAATGTGACTAATTATTAAATTCGTTCATACTATACCATGTACTATTCTTTCAAAATGATTGAACGAATATAAATTAGAACAGCAATATTATATTGTCAGAAGTGATTCATTATTTGTTTCTATCAAGTATTATTATAGAATGATTGCTTCAATTAGTTTTTTTAGAATTTCATTACTGTTTGATGTAGAAAATCTTTAATAATAGCTTAGATATGCATGTCTATTTCATCTTAGAAACGACAATGGAGAAGATCTGGATAGTTGTTAATTTTTTTTAATATTCACTCATTGATATATTAAATCTTATTCAAAACGAAATTGTTAAGAATGAACTTTTTCTTTTGATTAAATCCGTGAAATGTGTTGATTTTTTTATCTGTTTAATTAGATAAATAATTGATATCTGCTGGAAATTATTTCATTTGTATAGATGAGATTGACAAGACTATTTATAGTAGTTCTTCAAATTTAAATATTTTCAATCGAATTTATCTAATGTTTGGTGATTGAAATAAACTTTTTTATTTCTAAAATTTGAATAAATAAAACTTCCCAAATGATTTCTAATTAGATGTGGGGACCGACACTTTTTTATTTGAAACGATACCTTTTACAGCCATGTAAAACTTGCGTCGGACATCATATTATCATGACTTATATGTTCTAAATAGATACGAAAAAGATAATCCTAGTTCCACCGGGACCAAAAACGATTGGTTCCGTTCATGTCTAATTCTAGTGTATTATTTAGATAAATCAAAAAACATGCTTTTATGATAATCACCAAATAATTAAATAAAATTATCTTAAATAGTTATTACAATTTCTTTGACTCTTTTGTATCCAATATTTTATATATAGTTAAATAAAAACTACCTATTAATTCTATATGATACACTGTTGTATTCAGCATAGGAATGGCGCTGCTCCGAAGATCGAGTTGGTCTTCCCAGAGTTTGTGATTATTGTACAACGTACTATAATTCTGTGCTCCTTCAAAAAAAAACATAGATGTTCTCCATTTGGGAACAGAAAATATGAGTAAATCACAGATCTTATATTCAGTTATGATAATGAACAATAAGTAATGTTCATTTTTAAATCGAAAAACTTATTCATTAAACAATTGCGGTTATATTACAATGACTATTGCAATTCAAAATAATTTCATTATTTGATGTTCGTTTTATTATTTTTTATTCTTTCTTTTTTTTTCTCTCTTTATATTTTTCCAATATCAAGTTGGCAATAAAAGATGTTAAAAGAAGAGAGATGTAACATCACAAAACAAAATAATAATAATTGCCAAGTGAAAAAACAATAAAACTTATGTTTTATTTCGTTTTTTGGCTTGTTGGTTGTGTTGTTGCTGTTGTTTCTGTTGGACCAGTTACTTTTTTCGATTTCATAACCATAGCAACAATACGTTGTTCTTCAATAAGAAAAGCTCGAACAATACTAAAACATAAAAAATTCAATTAATTATAGAAAAATAAAAAATATTTTAATATCTTTGTTTTTACCGAAGACGAACGCATTTAGCACATCGTGAACCTCCATATGTACGTGAAACAGTTTTTAATCGTTTCGTCATTGTCATACGTTGTTTTGGACGAGATGCTTTTATCTAAATAATAAATTAAATAATAATCAATCATTTCATGGATCAAAATTTTACTCCTGGTAATTCGACTTTACAATCGCCACATTTAGGGACTGCTCCTCGTTTTTTAACATATTGATATGTTAATTTACCACCGGGTGTTTTCACACTATAAATTAATAGATTAAAAATTTAAATAAAATAAATTAAAAAAGAAGAAAACATACATTTTAACCCGATTTGATTTTGTATTGTATGATAAACGACGACGATAAGTTAATCGTTGGACCATTTTTTATAAATTAATTTTCTTCTTTTTTTTTGTCAAATGATCTTAAAATAATAAATAAATATTTTTGATTTTCAAATATAAAACATAAATTGTAGAAAAATTTTTAATAAAAAGAAAAAGAATAAATAAACATACTCATTTTCATATACATACATATATATATCTCTATTTCGATTGGTTAATAATGAATATCGAATAAAAACTAAGATGAAAAAAATATGATTAAACCTCGCTCAAAATGCATTTGTATATTAGAAAAATATTTTTTTCAATAAAGGACGTTACTTAGTTATCAGTATTCATTAATGGTAGTTTTCAATTTTCTTTTTACTATAGATCATTTTTTTTCCTTAATGAATACACGTTTTCAACCAAAAAATGTATCTGGTGGCCGATTAACGCCATCGAATTTAAGCTCAACAACAGTAACAAATTCAACATTATCACCATCGTCACCATCGACATCTGTTAGTAGTAGTATTGAAACTGATCAAGTATATCTTGGTGAAAGAAAAAATTAAAATGATTAATTTAGTTTTTGAAATAATGTTGTCTTTTTTTTTTTCTTAAGATCGGATAAAAGCCCGAGAAGTCATATCGGAAGCATTTCTTCAAGTAGCTCGAATTAAACCTGAGGATCCAATTGATTTTCTTTATAATTAGTAAGTTATATAGAAAAAAATAATAATAAACTTTTTCTTTTTGTGTATTTAAAATTGAAAAAATTTTCATAGTTTTGAAAGTCAATGTCAAACAAAACCATATGAAAAAGCATTAACTCGTTTACATCTTGCTGATCCTAAACATCCATCATTTGATTCTTTACTTGTTGAACTTTATTCAAATTTTAATACATGTGAGTTAAAATTATATTTAATTAGATGATCTATTTTCTTTTTCTTTTTTAGTAAATGATGATATCTTATTACTTAAAGGTGATTTATATAATAAATTATTAGAAAATCTTTGTAATAAGTAAAGATATTATGATTTGTATTTTATGAAAAAACAAATATTTTTCTTATCTAGTCATATCTGGTCAGGATGTAAAGATCATCGAACAACATTACTTTCATTAGTTAGTCTTCGTCCAAATGATGCTGTTAGTTTTAATGTATTTAAGTATGGTATACAAGCTATTCTTCTTGCAAAAGGTTAGTATGCAAAAAAGAAAAAGAAAAAAAAATAATACGATATTGCATGCAGAGAGAGAACAGCTTCTATTCTAAAAGAAAATAATGTTAAATATAAAAAATTTATGAAAGTGGTCTTGAATGATAACGATGTGGTTTATTAGATAATATTTGTTGTCTTGTATTTGTTTGTTTTCCTTTTGTTGCTGGTAAATTAGGTAGAATTGGTATTTGTTCAATTTCTTCTTCTAAACGTTCAAGTTCAGCAGCTGATTTTAAACTTTTATATAATTTCCATTCATCATCATCTTCATTTTCAATTAATTCTAAATTAAAATCAGCATCACTTCGTCGTGTACTTTTATGCAATAAATATTGTCGACCATGTTCACTTAATTTTGTTGCTAATGATTTCATTAATATATCAAGTATATCTTTAAGTTGTGCTTCTTTAGCTAAATCAACAGCTGTCATACCTTCCCAATTATTTAATAATGGATTAGCACCATTATCAATAAGACTACGAACAATTGAAGCATGATTAAACATTGTAGCAGCATGTAAACACTAGAATAAGAAGAAGAAGAAGAAGAAAACAAAGAATGACATATATAAAATTATACATATGTAATTATTGAGATTTTTTTTCTTTCTTTATACTAACCGATTCTCCATTTCTAAGTATACCAAGATCAGGTTTAAATTTAAGTAATTTATTAACTAATGAATTATAACCTTTTTGACATGCTTTAAATAATGGTGTTGCACCATCTTCCCGTGCTAAATCAATTGTATCTTTAATATTATCAATAAAATCAATAAAATAATTAAATATTTTTTCTTGTCCATATTGAACAATAAGAAATAATGGTGTAACACCATCTAAACGTTGTATTGATACATTACATTTTCCAGTTGCTATAAGCATATCTACAAGTGATAAATGTCCATTTTGACATGCTAACATAATTGCTGTTGTACCATCATTCATTTTTGCATTTATATTTGCTTGTGAATTAATTAATAATTGTACAACATCAGTAAAACCACGTTCACATGCAACATGTAATGATGTTGAACCATCAAATGTTGATAAATCAACAACAGCTTTATGTGTATTTAATAATAATTCAACAATACGTGTATGATGATATGATGCAGCAAAATAAAGTGGTGATGCACCTGTTATACGTCGTGCATTTGGATCAGCACCATTTTTTAAAAGATAATCAACACATGAATAATGTCCACGCGCACATGATAATAATAATGCTGTTGAATTTTCTTTATCACGACAATCAATTGGTAAATGCGATTTTGTTAAAAGTTCTTGCAATAGATTTAAATTACCAGTTAATGCAGCAATATGAAATTTTTGATTTAATATACGATCAGGTGGATTAGATGATGATGATGAATATGGAGATTGCGAATATAATTGGTTTTTCTTTGATGATGATGAAATAGTTTGTGAATTATGTTGATTAGTAATTTGTTCTTCTTCTTCTTCTTCTCCATCTTCATTTTCATCATCTTCTTCTAGATGATCAATTTCATGTATTACACTAAGAATTCTTGAATCCATATCTGTTGATGTTGTTGTCAATTACATTTGAAATCCAATTATCAATGGTATGCTATCGATAAAGAGTTAAGAGCATAGCAAATATATCTTTTGGCAGCAATAATGATAATAGTAATTGTTACAAAGGACAATTACAAAAACACAACTATTACTCGGCTTTTTTTCTTTGCTTAGATAGATTTCTCGTTGTATAAAAATCTTTTTCCACAGATATATATCTATCTTTATCATCAGACATAAACAGAATGAATGCATAAGCGAAGTAAATAGAAGAAAAAGAGCATTACTTTGATGAAATTACTGAAGGATATGAGAATAAATATGGATATTGTCTTTCTCTATGTTTTTGTTTGCCTAATATAACATTGTTAATTGTAGTGTATATCATTGTCGTTCATATTTGGCAGTTTGTGTCTTTTTATCTAACATCTGTCAAAATGACGAGATTTGTACAAAGTCTTGTAGAATAATATGAAGACTTATCTGCTTTTTCTTTTTACGAATATCACAGAATGATAAGCAATTGTTTTTTTATCTTTGGCGTATTGAAAAACGACTAATTGAGAATATATATATATATTTAATAATTTAGAATATGAAAAATTGGTTCGATCTTTATACAATTCATTGGCTAATCATGCTGGTACAAATTCGGAAATTGATCGATCATTATGTGAAGTTCTTTTACAAATACTTGCAGATTCTCTTGGAATGATTAATAAAACACCGCATGATGCTTTCAGGTGATTTGTTTATCAAAAAAATAAAAACAAAAATAAAACAATGCTTGATATAATAACATTTTATTTTTATTAAAATTAACAAAAATACTAACGTACAACTTATCTTTAAACAAAAAAAGTAAACTTTGATAAACTATGTGACAATGAATTTGAAAGTTTATTCGAAGTTAATCAACATCTAAAATGATTCTTCTTTTGTATTAGTTGGTTTCATATCGTAGATAATCTTTTACAGATATGATTCATATCGGAATAATTACATTCTTCTTAATCTCTAAATCAATTAAACTAAACAATAAAATCAAGATTAGATATCTTGAAATAAATCCAACTTCGAGAATTCAATAGTTTCGAAACTTTGTTATATACGAGAGAAGTTCAATAAATCAACTATGATCACTAATTTTATTCCAGGTACAAGCATGATGCTCACGAGGGAAGGTTTTCCAAATGTCAAATCGTTTTTGAGCTAAGACAATGTGTATCATGTAGGTTCTAATGACCTATGAATATCCTGAGCAAAGTTTGGACTAGTAGATTATTGCTGCTAAAATATTGCATTTTTACGGTATTTTTAGCATAATACCGTATTCCTTCGGAGAATATCAGGAAAACCAAGTTTCGAATTTCGATTTGAAACATTGCACAGAGAGAGGCCTTAATGAGGATAGTTTATTGTGAAAGTTTCAGATCATTCCTGTTTTTCCAATTCTAATATATGGCTATGGTAAAAGTACTTTTTTTTTTGCGTCGCTCGTATACATCAGCAGATTCTGAAGTGCTTGTTTCAGAATAGAGTCAATCAACAAATCTGAAACTTTCACAATACATTATTCTCATCAAGGCTTATCTCTATGAAAAGTTTAAATCGAAATTTTGAAACTCAGTTTTTTCAGTATTTCTGAGGTAGCTACAGCATTATACTAAAAAATACACTATCTAGGCAGCGGTTAGATAATAGCCCGAACTGTTTTCACAGTATTCATAGTTTCGTAGAGCCTACATGATGGACATAGTCCTGACTAAAAAAGTAATTTGGCATTTGGAAACATTCTCTCGTCAGTCTTAGTATGTGCCAAATATAGATGAAATAAGATTAGAGAAAAGAACCTTAGTTATACTTGAATAAATTTGTTCGTTCATTTCAATAATAAGAACTCAATTTGTTTTTCTATTTCAGTCTTCATGAATCAGTAGTCAAATTAAGTCCACATCAAATCAAACAATCACTAGAACAATTTTGGTCTCAAACACGATCAACATCGAAAACTCGCATAACATTAGAAGAATTTCAAAAACTAGCTATGCCCATTTATTTAAAGACTATTAAAAAAATTCCTTAAATAATTGTTTTTTAATTTTAATTTGTTTGTTTGTTTGCTTTTTTTTCTGTATATATGTATTCTAGATGACTTCATTATTAAATAATAATGATGAAAATGAAGTACCATTTGATGATGGTGAATATGAATATGCTGGTGATGATGACGATGTTGATGATATAAATAATGCACAAGTTGAAATGTTTGATGATGATGATAATGATGAAGATAGTGATGATGAAGAACAAATTGTTCAAAATAATAGTGCAGAAGAAAATAAAAGTCGTGCTTCATATACAGATGAAATGAATTTAATTGATTATGTTATTGAAGAAGAAAAAGAAATTGGTGGTGCTAAAGGTGAAGATAGTACTTCAACAAGTCGTTCAACAACTTATTCAAGGTATTAAAAGAAAAATATTTTATTTAAAAAGAAATTTTATCTTTTATTTTTTTTATTTATTATATTAGTTTAATAGGTAATGATGAAGAAAATGATGAAAAATTATTATCAAAGCAAATAATAACAAATAAAAAAGAAAAAATTTCTACAAAAGAAGAAGGTCAAATAATTCGTGCACGAGCTTTTCTTAATCGACTTGATAATAAAATTCAAGAAAAAGATGATATTGTCAAGCAAATTAGGTAAATTTTCTTTTGATGATATAATTTGTACAATCAAGTTTTTCTTTTTCTTACTTTAGAGAATCTGTTTATTTAACAAAAGATAAAATAGCTAAACTAGAACAGAATAAAAATCGATTAGAAAAAGATATTGATCAAGCACAAGATCAACAAAATATGTAAGATATTAAAATATAATTTAACCTATTTAAGAATTTGACAAGACTATGCTATATGAAATGAATCTATATGAAGAACAAAGAAAAGACTTTTCTTTTGAGAAATGATCTCGGTCAGTAATGGGTAGTGCTCATCGAAACTTTAATCAGTTATTAAAAAACTTATATCACATTAGAAATCTTGTTTGAACTAATTATGTCGGAATTGTGATTGAGCAAGATCAATCTATGTATTGAAGTTTTCCTTTTTTTTGTTCGACAAAGAAATATCTGAGTTAAACGGTGTTTAATTTCGAATCAAAATCAACTAATATCGAGCATTGAATTTTTTTTTAAATTTATTCTTTTCAATGAAGTTAATGTAAATTTTCCAGTGGGATAGGCATAGTGTTTTGAATCAAATTTTATTTTAATTGTTATGAATAACACGAGATAACCATTGATTTATTAATCAAAAGGTTGAGTTGTTATTTTTTGTTTCATTTTTTTCTTTTAGTACCATCATCAATCGACTTAATAATGAAATAAATCGTCTTGTACGTGAAATAGCTCTTGAACAGGAGATTCTCATTGAATTTCAAAGTAAACTTGATGCTGCTGAGTATGTTTTATAAAATGAAAATCTTCAAATTAATTTAATCATTTCTTAATTCTTAGAATGGATCGTACAAAAGCTATTATTGAACGAGCACATTATAATAGTGACGAAAATGTACTTAAAGAAAAAGAATCACGTTTAGTTGAACAAAAACGTACATTAGCACAATTACGTCAACGTCAAGAAGATTGGAAAGTTGCACAAATGAAGCGAGCACATTTATCTGCATTACAGTATATAAAAATAAAATCATTTTTATTTTCTTCTCACATTGTTTATTATTATTTTAGTACACAAAAACAAGCTCTTGAACAACAAGCAGTTGCACAACGATCTGCTATTGATGAAGCTCGCCGAAGTAAAAAACTTGCACATAAATATTTGCAACAAACATTTGAAAAGTAATATTTTCATTTGATTGTTTTGTTTCAATAAAATTTTATTTTTTTAGGGTTCGAACTGAAAAACGTAATGAAGAAGAAGCAAGTCGTGCTGAAACCGAACGAAAAATTAAAAGTTTACTTAATTTACGTAATGCTATTGAACGAAATAAAGTAATTGAAAATAATTTTAATTATATAATTTAAAATAATCAATTCAATATCTAGGATACATTAACAATTCAAACAGCTCAAAAACGAGCACAAGAACGTGATTTACGTGATGCACAAAAACGTGAACAACAATCAATTGATAATGAAGGACAAAATGGTTTATTTTATATGTTACGTAAACAAAAAAATGAAAAATTAGAACAAATGCAAAAGCGTTTTGCTGAACAACAAGATTTAAATCGTTTAGTTATTGTTGATAAAATTCTTAAAGAAGAAAATGAAAAAGAAAGAAAACGTAGACTTTATCCTGAATTATATAAAACAACAACCATAACAACAAATAAATCATTAAATATTCCAACATCAACAATAAAACAACAACAACAACAACAACAACAAGAAATACTTCAAATTGACCAGTAGGTTAATTAATATTAAACAATAAACAAAAAAAAAAAACATATTAAATTGTTATTTTAATTTTTAAATTTTATGTCACAAACTGAAATAGTTGAAGATATGGCATCGCCACCACCACCACAAATTGTTCCAACATCACAATTAGACATTGAGCCAATTGAATATGCATCATCAATGACATCAGCTTATCAACAAGAGGAATTAGATGATGGTAAAATTTTTTAATGAGAAATTTCAAAAAAATTTATGTCTCAATTATAGTTATACAACGAACAGGATCGATCATTGTTAGACCTTTTCTGAGAGATTATCGGAATTTATCTATTAAAAGCATACACCACTTTTTAATTATACCAAACAAGAATCAGAGGTCAATCTCTTCTGTTTGATAATAAAATATGTAACGGAATTTATAGAAAGAAACCGAAAACATAAATCCTAGAAGCTGTTGTAAAAAAAAATAAAACTTGTTTTTATCATTCTTTGGCTACGCTGTATGAGCTGGAGAACGGTGGTATTTTTTTCAAAAAAGTTAAACAATCTTTTTCTTATTTCGTTACGCAGACTGATTATTCTGATGTTTGTCGAGTTGATATACATTACTACTACGGACATAACCTATTTGTAGAGTAATTTTTTAAGAATTTATTGGTTACGTATATGAAAACAGAGTTTTTCATAACAATTTAGGCCATTTTTGATCCATTTGTCGTGAGTAACATGAAAAATGATTTTTCTAGTATGATTTGATTTTCGATATAAACTCAAAAAAATAATATGATCTTTATATTAAACACTTTATTAGTACTAATAGCTAGTCAAAAAGCGTTCCACGACTGCTTTTTAAATTATTTCTTATCAATAAAAGACAGAAATCTGCAGTTTTTGTTATGATTTTCCATCTGAACGAGACTTTAACAATAACAATAAATGATTTCGAATCGAAATCAGAACCAATGATTTCATATTATTAAAATAAAACGGAGACACGATCTTATAAATGAAAGACTTGATTTCAATTGAAAAATGTCCGTCCTTGCAAGTGTCTAACCACATATCATTTCATGAAATGAATCATTTTTCAAAAGAATAATTCATCATAAGTAGATTTCCAGCTTTATACAAATAAACTAACAACAGCATAGCTGCGAAAAAAAGTCAAATTAACAATAAATGCAAATTTTGTGTCATTCAAGACGAATGGAGTAATTGATAGCCCATTCTGCATTTTCGCAATGAAATGATTTCGCCTAAATTCAACCATTGCAGTATCATCAACAGCTCTTGTATAAGCTATTTCTACGGTTGACTCGACACCAATTCTACTGAACTAGTGTCAGAGGCTAGGGAGTTAAATAGACATTGATCTATGATTAATAAACTACAAACAATACTAAAGCATTGATCACTGATCATATTCTATGAGTTTTCCCTAAACTAGTCTATAAGATGATAGTTTTTTCTGAAATGAAAATATTATATAAAAAATTTAAATTTTAGAAACGGATATTGATTTGGCTAAGCCTGAATTCGACGGTTTATGGGATAAACAACCAGTTAAACAAGATATTGATCCACTTTTTAATCGATCAAAACATTGGAAAACAAAAATGGATAAAGTAATATTTTTAGTATCTAATGGAAATATATTTTTATAAAATTTTTTATGTTTAAAAGGATATTTTACAACGAACATTAACGAAATTAAAAGAAAATATTGTTCGTGAACAAGTTGTTGGTACTAAACGTTTCGAAGGACCTGTACCATTTAAAAGTGATCCATCAGAAATTATTTTTAAAGTTTGTTTAAAGATTTTATTCACAGAAAAATTTTTATAAATCTTATTTCAATAGGATTTTGATGTTAATAAAGTTTATCGAACACGAGTTACATTAACGAATGTAACATTAACAATTAATACACTTAAACTAGTCGATTTATCTGAATCATTAAAAGATTTTATTACACTCAAGTATATATTTTGTTATTATATCAAATATTCTTTTTTTTTTAATCTAAATTATTTTATTAATAATAGCTTTGAACCACCAGGAATGATTTCTGCTGGAATGTCTTGCTATCTTTATGTCACATTCGAACCAAAAGTAGATAAATTCTTATTATTTTATTCTTTATAATTTCTTTTTCATACGTATATATATATATATCTAGATTAATGAAAATCTTCGTGGTGAAATAAAATTTCTAGCTCAAACAGGCATGTTTACTGTTCCAATTCGTTGTGAAATAAAAAAAGTTGAAGTAAATATCAAAATCATTTAAAATAATTTAATATTACTCCTTCCCCCCCCCCTCCCCGCAGTTCTCATAACCCAAAATTTTTGTGGTCATTTTATAGTCTACAGTAGTATTTATTTTGGGATTCAAAAATTGAAGGAAACAAATTCTCAAACCAACTTTTGCATCAAAAAAAAAACCAGTGCAGAAATGTTCCCGTTTCTCCGGGCTAGTGCACTCGATCAAACTGAAACTTTTTTCACATATATTATCCACTGTTTGAGATGGATATTTAAAACAAAAAAAATATATATTTGCTTTTAGTTATCGTTGAATAAAACAACAGTTAATATTGGAACGACAGTTGTTGATGAACGTCTTCATCAAAGTATTACACTTCGTAATAATGGTGGTTTAGGTACAAATTATCGTTTGGTTAAAACAAGTTTATTACGTGCTGAACAAAATAAAACTGAAGTTATTAATAATCATAAAGAAGAAATTAAAACAGACGAATCAAAACCATCATTAGACAAAGAAACATCAACCGTGTCAGGTTTGATAATAAATAAATTATAGAAATTATTTTAAGAACAAAAAAAAGAAAGTTGTTTTGTTTTTTAGATGCAACAGATATAGCTAATAAAGAATATATTGAAGTTTTTACAATAAAAACTGATGAACGGGGCTTTCTTGAACCACATTCATCGATTTCATTTACAATTGAATTTAGTGCTCCCGTAGCTGGAACTTTTCATGAAGAATATACTCTTGTATTTGATCAAAATGTTCCTGAAGTAAAATATCATAAAGAACATATAAAAGATTTTTTATAATAAATTTTGTTTTTAGTTACATTTTTCTGTCAGTGCTCAATCACTTGATGTACCTGTTTGGGTAGAAAATCCTTCGATGGATTTTAAAATTTGCATGTTTGATCGTTTATATCAAGATGCACTTATTTTACATAATCGAAGTTCAGCTGCACTTCGTGTTTCAGTTGATATTCAACCACGTATATTACAAAATTATATTGAAATTGTTCCACGTACAGCTTATATACAAGCAAAATCAAGTTTTAATTTACAAGTTAAATTAACTGCACATCCATCAATTATTGATGATGATTTATCAAATGAAATATTTGATTCACAATTAAATACATTAATTATTCCACTTGAAGTTAAAGTAGCTGATCAAATTCGAACTGTACCATTTAGTATAAGTGCGATATTAACAACAAGTGATCTACAATTTGATGTTGACAATATTGATTTTGGATGTTGTACAACAAGTGAAAGTGTTTTAGCTAAAATTCAATTAAAAAATAATTCACTATTAGCACAACCATTTGGATTTGTTAATTTACCTGATGTAAGTTTGCTTTTGTTTTTTGGTTTTTGAAAAACTATCGATAAAAGTTATGATTCGATGAAACATATGTATAAGAATTTGTAAATGGAAATGTGCGAAATGTCACGTTCCTATTCCACTCTTAGGAATATACAACAATATAACATAAAAAAATAGACGAAATTGTATGAACACCTCGGTATATATATATAAATGCAGTTTGGAATACGTTCTTATTCTTTGAAAACAAAATATTCAGAAACGAGAACTTTGATTCACCCAAAATCAAGTTTTTATTTATTCTGATGCTTGAGAAAACATTTTGTGGTGTTTATACCACAACATATTGTGTGAATTTTTATTTTCTCTTTGGTGGAATATATTGAAATACAATTATGGTAAGTAGATAGTATGCTCTTCATTTCGACGAAAGATACCTGTAATACAATACAAAAATAAATCGATTGTTGATATCGAAATTATTATCAGAGTCGGACGCTAGAGTTTGTTGTAGTTAAGTAGAGAATGACGATCTATTCATGAATTCAAACTATAGATAAATATTTACCTTACGAGGAAACGTCTCCAAGTGTGACTCACTAATCGAATTGATATTCTTTAGGCTGAAATTTTCAGAGCATTCTAAGGTTCTCGAGATCAACCTATGGTCAAAATTTCAAATTGAAATTTCATAATTCAATTTGTTTACGAATACCTTATCAAAAGATAAAAACGGTCTACTGATAGACAAAATATCAGTTCAACGAGTGAGTCACACTTTGGGACATTCCCTCGTTAGTAAATTAACTCGACGAAATACTTAAGGAGAACCGGTTAACCGTAAACATTATTTTCTCGAATTCATATTTACTAATCTGTGTTCAATGAAAAATTCTATTTATAAAAGTAGTAACTTGAACGATAAATCGCCACTTAGAAATTTATATAAATATGTTGTTTTGCAGTTAAGAAATAACTGAACACTCGAAATGCTAATTCAACAATTTATATTTTTCTGTAGTACATTCAAGTACAACCAAATGATGGTTTTGGTACCTTATTACCCGAAGAAACTATTGATTTACATGTTTTATTTAGTCCAACAGCAACAAAAGAATATCGATGTACACTTGTATGTAAATCACTTGTTAATCGGTAAGATTTTTTCAAAAAAAAAAAATTATTATTTATGGTTTATAAATTAATTCTTTTTTTTCTAGTGAATTTACAATTGAATGTCAAGGTGTTGGTGTTTTACCACCACTTTCTTTATCATCAACAGTTATTCATTTTCCAGCTACACCAATTAATGATCAATCAATCGTTAGTTTTTATGTTGAAAATCGACATTTAGATAAAAATCATTTTAAACATCCTGTACCACGTATTGGAAACGGTAAATTAATTAATAATATGAAAAATAGGAGATTCAATTTTATTATATCCATTAGCATAGGCAACGGAATGTTTTGATTCTAGGGGTAGTCTCAACATATTTTTATAAGATCCTCATCTCGAAGTTAAAAATGAGAGAAGACAAGTTATTTTACAATGTGTAACAGTGATGAAGATCAGAAAACAATTCACCACTTGCGTACAAAAAAAAATATGCGAACATTTATGTTCATCGAAATGTGACCTTCGAAAGACGAGATTCCGATCTGCTTTATCGAAAAAGAAAATTTAATAGCGAAACAGAAATTTTTCACAAAAAAATTTGTTACCTAGCAAACTTCTTCATTTGTAATAAAGAATCTCCACTTCAATTCATTGACAATTTACTTGTACAAAATTCAATATTTCCTCAAAAACGTTTTCTAAGTCTGCTTGATTGAGAATATATTATTATTAGCTGCCAGAGACGGGCAAAAATATTAGCACTGGTAGGAAAAATGTTGTGATGTACTGCTCAAATCTATCAATCTCATGGAAGAAGAAAAGTATTTGAGTCTACGAAGCGTGAATTTAGGTTAAGCTTTCGTTTTTCCAAGTCACGAACGTTCAAGCTCGGTCTTGACTACGACCATTCTCAGTCAATTAATAAAAGAAAGTAGAAGTAAACCAAAAGAAAATAAAATATGCAGATCTTTGCTTCTATTAAAGGAAAATTTGATCATTTATTTAGGTGAATTTGCTCCAATTGGTCCAACATCATTTCAATTTGATGTTCCCGCAAATGCACCAATTACTATTTCACCTCTTGTTGGTACTGTTGAACCAGGACGAGTATGTATTTTATTTGAATTTGTTCTATTATTTCATTATGAAATTTCTTTCTTTTTTACAAAATCTAGCGACAAAAAATAACAGTACGATTAGCACCTAAATTAGATAATGAACAAATTCGTACTGAATCCGTTCGTATAAGAGAAGCAGAATTAAAACGACAATTAGAATCTAAAGAAAAAGAATCATCAAATAAAGGCGAAGTAAAAAAAAACAACTTTTTTTTCTATTTATATTTCTAAATAAAAGAAAAACAAAATCATTTAATTATAGTCAAGAACTAGACCTCCAGGAACAACAGCTTCAGTAAGTCGAAAACTTGATACTCATGGAACAATGAATACCGAAATTAGTCTTCATCCTGCTACAGAACAGTTCGTAAAAATTATACAAAAAAAAAAGAAATTTTCTTTTTTGTTTATATCAATAAAATTTCTAGATCAACTGTTTGGTCAATAGCTCAATTATCTGTATTAAAATCATTTCCATCATCACTTTCTTCATTTCTTATTCCATGTTATGTTGTATCAGGTATATGTCAAAAACCTGGTACATTAAATTATGAGTAAGAAACAAAAAACAAAGACAAATATTTAAAAATTTATTTGATTTATTTCGTTAAATTAAATAGTGTTGCAAATACATTATTTATTCAAATACATTGTCCTATTGTAAGACCAGAAATGATTGTTATATCTGATTATGGACAAACAACAATTAATTTTGGTTCAGCATCAATTGGACAAGAATTAACACGTACTATTCTTATACAAAATATAAGTAATAAATCAATACAAGTAAATTACATGATGAAACTATGAATTTTGAAATAAATATTTAAAAAATTTAATTATAGTTACATAGTACTTTATTAAATATTCATGGACCATTTCGATTAATAAATGCTTTAAGAAGCGTTGAACCAGGTGATACAACACCAATTAAATTAGCATTTACACCAAATTCAATAATTGAGGTTTGATTTTTTTTTTGTTAATAAAAGTTAATATTTTATTTATTCATTAATTTTCTAAATAGTATTTAGAAACATTAGAATTAACTAGTGAAAGTTCAAAATTAACATTATGTTTAAGAGGTAAATTAAATTTTTATGATTTAATTATTTCTGAATCTTTACAAAATTAGGTGTTGGTCTTAAACCTAATGTTCAATTATCATTTGATACAAGCAATCCATTTTCAATGGGATGTGTTTTAGCTAAAGATCGTATTGAGAAAACATTTCAAGTAAGATTTTATTAAAAAGAAAATTCAGTAAAACTTCTCTTAAATAAACACTCAAAAATTTTGACAAATGTTCATTGGTGAATGATGTTTATTTATAGAAGATGTCATATATTGTGAAACACGATCTAAAAGAAGTGTTAAAGTATATAGGGTAGTATTTTACACTTCTCTCTTCTGAGCTACATACTATTACAGAATGTATATAATATAAATAAACTACTCTCTAATTGTATTCCTAGAGGATTAAGTTCTCTCTTCCTCAAAAATCGATCTTGGTTCAGGTGCATTCAAATCACACGAAATTTTCAACGGTATATCATGACATTTTCGGGAGATATTCAACAATAGCTCATTTGGCAATTCAAAATTCTTTATAGGTCTTTATTCTATAAATCTAGTTTTTGTTTTGTTTAAAAGAGCATGGCTGGATGCAGGGTATGACAGACTTCTATTGTTTAAATTCTTACTTTTTATTCGGAGAAAAGTTCAACGTCTAAAAAAAATAATGCTCTAATTATAAAAGTACTCGTTTACATAATAGTAACAAGGCTTAATTTAAAAGACAAGCACTGTCATGCCCTGCATCTTGACATAATCTTTCAAACAAAAGAAAAAGATCATTGGCTACAATGAAGCTCCTTCGAAGGAGAGCTTAAAGTAAAAGAATGGTGAAGAAATATGTCCTGAAATAAAGAGTGACTCATAACAAATGACTGCACTTTGCATTTCATATTTTAATCTCTAAATACGCCTTATTAAAGAAACAGAATGTATCACAAGATATAGCATGAAAAATTCTACAATCTAGAAAATTAAGATTACTTTAATAATGTCTCTTTTGTGTAATAGCATCTCACACGTAATAATCCCTAACATTGAGATCAGAACTATGTTATGATCATCTGTGATTGTCTAAATAATTCAATTCACGAAACAGTATGATAACCTAAAATTCTCATACTACATTTCTAGACGTTTGCACGTTGAATACACGTATAAGTTATGGAGAATTATTGCCAGTTTGATAAGATTATTTAAATATTCATACAATAGTATGATTGCGTAAATTTTTCATTAAGCTACATATCGTATTAATTGAATTTTTTCGTCGGTTGGATTAATTTTAATTACGATCAATTATATGCCATAGATGAGAAATTTCAATAGCTATAACAATATAATAGAGAAGCCTAGAATAGCAAACAACATTAAACTAAAATAATTTTATGAAAATGTAATAAAAAGTCTTTGTAAAACAATTGTTTTTTAATGGAAATGTTTTCTATAGTGAATATTTTACTAATACTATAGCTACATCAAATTTGAATCTAATAGTAATTTTGAGGACGAAATCTTTTGTTTACTTTCTGATGAATACACACCGTTCCAGTACAGATTTTGTATTTTATGGATTTATTATTTGTCGTTAGTGACACTAGGGTGCTTTGAAATTTTATGGACATACTAAACATAATACATCGGTTATTATCCTATTAAATATGATATAAAATAACTTTCTCAATTATTAATAAAAGTTTAATCAAGAATATTGTAAAACAAATGATAATAACAAATAAATATATTGTGTGTTTTTATTATGATTCGTCTATGTTTGATAAAAAAAATCAAAACAAAATATCATATGATGTTCGAGCGTATGTTTATGTATAAAAATTTGATAATTACACATGAGGATGAATCATATGTTTATTTCATCTGACACGATAGTATTGTCAAATTTCTTGATTCAAAATGCAATATTACTATCGTCAATCTATTCTACTCATATTATATTATAATAATGTATTTTTAGTGCAAATTAAAATAAATATCTACCTTTTATATCAATATGTTTACACTCATTTGGTTATAATGATGAAGAAGAGAATGACAGCTCTTTATTCTATACGTACTTTTTACCCTTGACTTGCTTAGCTATTTTTCGTTTTGCTTGTTTCGTTTTTTTATTATTTTTATTCTCTTCAATTCTCAATTCGTAAATATTAATTTTTAATATCGATTTTCTTCGATTTTGAATAACTTATATACATCATTTATGTAAACATAAATATTATCAATAATAATATATTTCATGGACCAACTCTATTTACATTTGAATCTATTTAATAGATTCGAAAATATAATTAGCAATCATTGATATTGACTAAAAGAAGAATCTTGGTTGTACAATTCACAGTGAGAAATGTCCAATAATGATTAAATAATTACACAATTTTTTATCGTTATACTTATCGTACATATTTATCTAGATAAAAAAAAGTTTGAACGAGGAACAATCAATGGAAGAAAATGTAAAGGAGATTCAGAAAAGATCAATTTCCCGTACGAATTTTTTATGACACATAAGCAGTATAATCTCACTATTAATTATTTTTCACGTATCTAAGATTACTCTGAAAGAGAAAAATAAGTAAGAATTCGTTACATAGAATCCTTCAATTAATTGTCATGAAGTTATTTTCGATGTCATCAGAATAAAAATAGTATCTATTGTTTTTTTTATCTCATCACATTTTCACATCAATTTAAATGCTTACGCAAATGTGAAAAAGGTTCTGTTATATATATACACACAGTAGTTATACCCATCATAATGTATTTTAATCTTTTTCATGATACTTATTATTCTTTACTAACAACGTCCATCTTTAAAACATATTCATTTTTATATTGAAGATCGTTCTTTGCTATTTGTTTTCTTTTCTACTGTCTATATATTGATAGATATACATTTTTCGAATTTAAATACGATAATGAATTTTATTTTAATTTCATTAATTTTACTTTTATTCATTTATTTATTTATTTGTCATTATTTTCGTTTTCAACGTGTTAAATATATTTTAACAAAATATAATCATGTTCATCTTGATTATCGTAAAGCACAAGAAATTAGTCTTCTTACAAGTTTATTCGATATGCCCTATCTATCGCAGACATCTACTTCATTTGCTCTCTTTAAAACATATGGTATTCCAACTATTTCACAACTACTTGTTCGAACTAACCAATTAGCTAACTTAGATGTTGCTGGTCGTCGAGCTGAAGATACAGGTATACTTATCAGTGAATTTGGTCTTCATGATCTTGATTCTCATCGAGCTCGAATGGCTCTTGCACGTATTAATTATTTACATAGTTTATATAAAAATCACATAAGTAATGATGATATGCTCTATACATTAAGTTTATTTATACTTGAACCTATTCGATGGGCAAAAAAATATGAATGGAGATCTTTCATATCAATAGAAGAAGAAGCTCGATTTATTTTTTGGAAGACAATCGGTGAACGAATGAATATTGAAAATATTCCATTAACATGTAAAGAAATAGAAAAATGGTCTGAAGATTATGAATTAAAACATATGATCTATACAAAAAATAATCAAATATGTGGAGAAGCTACACTTAGATTAATGCTTTCATTATATCCTGATTGGATGAAAAATTTTATTCGTAAAATATTAATATCAGTAATCGATGAACGACTTCGTTTATCGATGGGTTTTGAAGAAGTATCATTTTGGATAAAACATTTGACTATAATTATATTTAATATACGAGCTTTTTTTATTCGTCATTGTACACTTCCACGTATTTATCCAGATGATTTTGGTCAAGGTCCAAAATCATGTCCAATGAACAAATATGGAAGATATCAACGAACAGGTTATGTATTTGAACCGTGGTATGTGAAAGAAACATGGTTTAGTAAAATATTACCATTTATTAAAAAACGACCAGGTCCAATGTATAAAAGTCAAGGATTTAAAGTTGAAGAAGTTGGACCTGAAAAATTTGTTTGTAAAGGTATTGAAGAAATGGAAAAAGATGCAGAAAATATGAAAACAAGAGCAATTTTTCAAGTTGAATCATGATTTATCTATTTATTTATTGGATTCTTCGTCGATTTCAAATGTTCATTTCTTTGATGATTGAGTTTAAAAAACAAGGAAACTGTAAATTTCATTTTTATATAGGCGTTGATTATAAATAGATAAAATAAATATGTGTATATATTAGAATATAGATGTCTTAATTTTAGATTCATGACTAGATAAGAAATTTTATTTTTTCAAGAAATTATCAATGAAATGTTTTCATCATTGATTATATTTAGAAATAACTTTAGATTAAGTAGAACTATTCAATTATTATTTATTTGTTTCTTTTTTTATTTAAATAGATTATCAATCATTCGGAAACATCAGTAACATTTCGAGTTGATTTAGCAAGTCAACATGTTAAGAATCGAATGGAACAAGAGAATAAAAATGTTTGGGGTACTACGTTTGATACTAATAAACATCTTATAGGTAAATTATAATAATAAATTCTTTCTTTACTCATCTACATATTTATATGTGTTTTGCTTTTTTTGTTCAGGTCCACAAAATTTAAGTGGTCGATCTGTGTTTGATATAACTCCACTCGATGGACTAATACCAGCTGGTGGTAAAAAACAATTAACAGTGATATTTAGTCCTGATCATGATTCTGATTTCTTTTCGGATCTCGTTCGTATTACTATTTCTGAACAGGTTTGATTTTTCAAAATTAAAAAGACAAACTTTTTAAACAAAAGTAAATCGAATTATTTTCTAGCCTGTCAAACTTGAATTTCGTTTACGAGGTACTGGACGTCAAAGTACTGTGTATATACGACCATTAGATAATGGTAATATTGTACAAAAATGTCTTTTACCAAATATAAACGATGCATTAACTATGCAAATGCAAACAACAGGTTAGAATAAATTAGAAGAAAGTTTTGGTGTTTTTGTTTTTAATGAAATATATTGATGATTTTTCTTTTTAGATCCTAATGAGAAAGGAATACCAAATAATATTCTTGTTGTACTTTGTGCACTATTTATTAATGGAAAATATGTACCTGCTCAACGTGAATTAATTATTGGTTGTGCATCAGTATCAAGTGGATCTAAAAAAGTATTTTAGCAATATATTTTATATGAATACTTTAGTTTTGAGCATTTATATTTTAGAATGGAGATTACACATTTGATAATTTAAAAGATATTAATAGTGAAGGTTTTAATGTCGATGTTCCAAAAGTAAATAATTAAATACAATTAAATAATTATTCTCTCAATACACATACAACGCTGGACAAAAATATCTGCCTCTCATGAAATGCTACTAGTCCTTATTATATTGAGCTAATATTTTGGGTGCATGTATACAACAAGTTCACATTTACTGAAGTTATGATTCACATATCTTCTTTCCTCTGTGAAAAACGTATTCAGTGGAAATATGTGCTCAAAAAGTTTTTTTTTTGTCATTTTGCTATTCCACAGGCAACTACTGTTTTTGTTTTTCTAGCACTAAAAGCATTCTCATATGTCAGTTGTATTATTACCAAAATCTTTGACTTACGAGGAAACATATTCAACTGTCGGACACCATTCGGCTTCACATTAGGGCTCAATGAGACTAAGAAAAACTTAAAGAATTCAGACCCATGGCCTATTGTTGGAGAGTTATGACTATTTGAATGAAATTTTTACTGAGAATAAGATATTTTCAAAAATCCAAAACGAAGAGTCTCGAGCTAATATTAGGTCGATAGGTATGCTTGATAGGCCTGAAAGTTTGAGCGGAAAGGAAGATGACTTTCATGAGATATTTAATATCTAAAAACACAGCGGTTTACCATAGGAAGACACAGTAATAGAATCTATATAGAAATTGAATATCTCGAGAAAGACATATTCATTTTCGTTGAAACTTTCAGGACTATTAAATGTAACTCGATGTTATTCAATGCTACAGTTCTAATTTTTTCACAACAGATCTTTCTATTAAAATTTTTGAAATAAATTAGTTAAAGTCATCACGCAAAAACATTCATCTTATTAAAAACCACCATTCGCTCTCCGACAGACATTCTTAATGAGAAGACAGTTAAGATGATCATAAGAAGAAAATGATGCCAGTAAATGTAAATTAATAGAGAGCAGATTGATACTTGTCAACAGAATTTCTTGTCGCACGTCTGCACTAGAAATATTCGCTCAATATTATAAAGAATAGTAGTATTTCATGAACGACAAATACTTTTGTTCAGGAAGGGATATTTTATTTTTTATACTATTTTTAGGGTACTGTTGAAACGGGCACAGAAAAAATCGTAAAAGTCACTTGGACACCATCAGCTAATTTTGATGTAGGTCTTTTATTATTCTTTTTTTTTTATTAAGAATTTTGAATATTTTTATTTTCTCTAGCCAAATGAAACATGTCGAGCAACAATTAATGTAACAACAAAAGGCGATATTGTACGAATATGGCGTATTATTTTAATTGGTTATGTTGAAATAACTTCATCATCTGATAAACGATCATCACGTACTTCAAAAAATCGTCGTATAATTACAGCTGATACTCGTTCACGTGTGTCATTAGGTGGCACTAGTCAACGAATAGGAAAACAAGTATCGACACAAGAAAATAATTCTAACATATTGACAACATAATTCATAGAAATAAAGAAAAAAGAAAAGATTTGTTTTTTACTATTTATATTGAATAAAATTTTAAAAAGCAACGTTCAAAATAGATAAAATTTTATATCATTCAATCCTATTGACAATTAACATACATAGAGAAATTTTTTATTGTAAGAATATATAATTAGTATGTGATGTTCTGAAGTGCTTACAAAGGGAATTGAATATAGAAAGAAGGAAAAAATAGATCACTAAAAAAGAAGACAAAAATATAACAATATAATGTTAATCATATTTTCATCAAAACATGCCTGTTAAGAATAGATAAATAAAGACTAAGAGCTGATTGCTCATCTTAAAAGCTATAGAATGAAGAAGAAAAACAACAAGCAAAGGAACTTAAGAAAAAAGAAGACGAATACTTGAGCTGTAAATTGCTGTAATCATTTATTTTCAACAAATTCTAATCATATTCCTAACAGAGATTTATGTTTCTTATTCAGTTCTTTCATTGAAAATAATATCCTAGTCTATCTTTATTTCTTGTTTCTAAAATTCAATAGAGAATGAATTATTATTGAAAGATTTGATTTGTAAAAGAATACAGTTCATGAGCTGCTATTCATAGACATGGTTGAACTAATCTCATATTTGCACTAAAATTTTGTTACAGTAGCTCTTATTGTGTATGCGGAAGAAAATCTAATTAAAAAAAAACATTGTCTCAATATATCGTTGGAGGTTACTCTACTACGTTTCAAACATCATTGAATCATATCTTGATGATTTGTAACAAATTTAAATTATTTCTTCAAGTGTACCCAAAGTCGTTCATACACAAGACATCGTTCATTAATACTATTAAGGAGTATAGATTAATTTGTGTGTGTAATATCTAGTAGACTGATTTAAAGATGTTGATTGGTTGTTTCCACTTTCTAACATATCCAAAAAGTTTATTGCACACTTTAGTACTTTTTACTGTTCCAGAAATTGTAACGTCGACTTTGATGCTCTGATTAAAATATTTAGATCATTTGCAGATATATGAGTCGAAAAAGCTTCTTTAGATTATACGAGATCAGAATAAAGTACTATAAATAAATATGAACTTAGATTACTTTCTTGAAGTAATCTAATCGATATAGAAAATTCTTTAGTGCTAAGATATTTGATGCAAAAAGTAATTGGATAAATATTGGCTTTAATAGAAGGATGCTGAAAAACAAATCTTTTTTTAATCTAAATTAAACTAATAGCAGAGATATATCACAGACTACTTTTTATAAAATAATAAATTATCGTTTTAAATAACTTATTTGATGAATTAATATCAAAACTACAAATTTGTTGTGTGAATGTTCCTCTTTTTTTTTTGCTCGTGTCGTTTTATGAATGTTTAACAAAATTAAATTAAATACAGTTCACAAGAAGAGCATATTTCATATCAACTAAGATCGTTAGTCTATGTAATATGAAAAGTGCGTGCAGATTTATTTCAAGCAGATGCTTTTCTTTTCTGTTGTATCATTTTCATTCTATGTGAACCCCTTTCAGCATTCGTCTATCAGAGCTGCTATTCATTCAACATCACATATTACATCTTCGATAGTCACTTGAAATATTAAAATTATATTATAAACAAAATAGCGATTAATAACGTATTGATAGTAATCTTTTAATTGTATGTCAATATTTAACTATTTGTTCAACATTCAATTGATTAAATTGCATAGTGTCTTATTAGTAGTAGAAGATTGTTTCGAATCAAGAGCATTCGTATGTAAATTATCTTTAAGGCATATCAAACATCATGTGCATAGATTACTTGAGCAAAAGTAGTAGAAACTATCAGCCCAAAAAAAAAAAGAAATACAATTCTGTCCGGTATTAATTGATATCAATAGTCTTTTGTTATTGATTTAATATTTGTATAATTTCATTCTATTGAAAGAGAATATATTTGAACAATTATAAATATATATAGCTAAAATCATAATTATGAATTGAAATATTTTATTTTTAGTCAGACAATACATTAAATATGTAGAAGTTTTGATTTCTAATGTATATTTATATATAGACTTACACGTTACAAATACTAATAGATAAATAATAGCAAATCGTTTTTAAATAAGCCATTGATTAAAGAAAAATGTTCTTTTTTTTGTCATTATTCTTCCTGTTCTTGTTCTTCATCTTCTTCTCCTCCTCCTTCTTCTTCTTCTTCTTTATTTTCAGCTTCATCACCACCATCAGCATTTCCATCATTACCATCATTTGGATCTTGTGGATTAACAGGTTGTTCATTATTATCACCACTACCTTTTACTACTATCCATAATGTTCTATCATCTTCATTTGTTTGATTTTGTAGAGTAAATCCATTTTGACGAAGAATATCAAGAATACGTTGAGAATTTGCTCGACAAAGAACACCTTGTTCATTATCAGATAATAAATCATTTGTAAGATTATCTTGTAAAATACGAATCTATGATAAAAGAAAATTATTTAATTAATAATGACTATGTACTAAATAAATAAACAATAGAAAAGAAATATATTTTTTTAACAAGAAAAATTCAATTTAACTCATTTTCATTTTTATTATTATTGAATACGTCAAGAATATTATCCAGGGCAATATAATTATATAATATAAAAACCTCATGGGAAATACTTTCATTATTTAGTTACATTACAATATATATATATATGTGAAAAATAGACAAACTAACTCATGTTTCTTTCTTTTCTTTGTTCCTATCGTAGAATTTTCTCATTGGTTATAATATAAAACTCGGAAAAGTCTTGGAGTCTAAGACTAAAATACTTTTCTTTCGAATAAAAAATATAATACATACTAAAAAAGTATTAGAAAAAAAAAAGAATCTTATTCTCGTTTTCTTGTTTGTATATTGATAATTTAAATTCTAGTGAAAATATTCATTTTCTCCATTGTTTATTTTACTTACAATTTCCGGTGGAATCTTATAACCTGGAACACCAGTCGAATGTATAAGTGTTGAACCACTTTCTATTTTATCCGAATCACATGATAAAGTTAGTTGAAGTGCCATTATTTATGTTGATACTTTCAAACTTCTTATTACCAGAAGATAAAAATGTCTATCTCGGGTTTTTTTCTTGTTTCGATAGAATGATATATGAAGCAAAATCTATATATTTCTTATTTCTCCCAAAGAACTCACGCGTAGAAAGAAAAAAAAGCGGTCGTCATGATACATCAAAAGCTCGCACTACAAAAAGAATGAGCATTAAAGCAAGCATAAAAAAAAAAGAAGAACAAGAACAAGAAGCAGAGAAAGAAATATGGAATTAAGGCAACATCATAAAAAATAAAAACAATCGAACAAAAAGAAAATTGGACGGATAGAAGAATACAAAAGAACATTCACAAAAGCAAACTTTCAAAAGAAAAATAATTATTAATTATCGTCATCATCATCATTATTATAATTCTTTCGAGCATTTGTCGAAGGTAAAAGACGAAATGCATCTTAAAATGAAAAGATTTTTTTTTTTAAAAAAAAACACAACTTTAATAGACAACTTCTGAAACATACTTTCATCATCACCATTTAGTAGTTCATCATCATCTTCTCTATGATTATAATGAGTTGAAGCAACTGGTTTTTCTCTTCTTGTTGATAATGATGTTGATGCATAAGATGCTATTCAGAAAAAAAAAAAAAACTTATTTATATCAATGGAATATTTTTCTATTGTACATACAATCAGGTGATAAACTACGATTTGTTGTTGGATTTGATGAAACTAATGAACCACCTTTTTCTAAACGTTCACATAATGTTTGAATACGTTTTTTTAATTTATTTATATCAATATTTATTGTTGAATTTCCTATGGAATTTGGTATTGAACCTAGATCAGCACTTTTGGATCGTGCAAGAACAGTACGTAATGCATAATTAACTGCTAAATCAACAGTTTCTTCCCAACCCTAGGCGAAAAAAAGACACAACAAGAACAAATTAAATATTATTATGAAAACAAGAAAATTAATTCTTGAACATGATTATTTCTCTTGGGAAATTATAAGTATTATATTCATTAAATAAACAAACGATAAACGTTAAACATAAGACGTTCGTCATGTCTTCTGATATATGTTCATAAGTCTTACAATCAAAAAACAAAATTTATTAGACAGGAAATATAATGGAGAACTAAAAACTGCAAGTCGAATTTTGGCAAAGAAATAGACCACATGTAAATTATATTTAAGTTGATTACAATACTTTTGTCAGTCTAAAACATTTGATGTTTAGTAGAATAGATCATAATTGAATGTTTAATTTATTAGAAAAATTTGCTGGATTCTATGAATAATTGTTCATCGAATTATGATTTGATGTGTTTTATTGAAGTTATATCAAGTGAAACTTGGTTAATAACTTCACAAAAATGATTGAAAAGATTGAGGTAGAATAAAAAAAAAACAGAATTGTATCGTGCGTTCTTTTTTCTAATATTTTAAAAAAGATAGATTTCTGTATTTTAGTTGCTGATAAACATTATGAAGATTGATGTTTAGTCAAGTTCTATAAAATAAAACTTCAAAGATCACGCTATCATATTATAGAAAATAATCGTATTACTTAAATTCTTTCAAAAGATATTTACGTTTAGGTTTCCAATATCTTTGACATTCAAAAATGAATATTATTCTGATGACATTAAAAGCTTCTATTCTAATATAGAAATATTTTAATCCAATCAGAGCTTATGACATATATATATACAGCTAGAAGATGTTATGAATTACAATTTGACAGAAGTATTTTTTTTACTGTTTGTATTTAAGCTCCCCGAAAATAAAATTCCATTTCCGTCAGAATTATGGAAATTAAAATAAATACATAGAAGAATAGCTTGAGGTCGAATCTTTCAAAAAACAATATGAATTTTTATTTGGTACGTTTATTTTTTTCCAAAAATTTCCGTTACTCTATGTTTGAGAGATATGCTTTTTTTCTGAAAAAACGGGAAATCTTTTTCCTTTTTTTTCCTCAATTTGTTTTGTGTGATCGTGCATTTCCGAACTCTCGAATGAGCTTCATTGTAGCTAATTGCTTTTTTTGTTTGTTTAAAGGAGCATATGAAACCGCAGTATCTAAAAGAGCTCGCTTTTTTCTTATTACATAGAAAAACACTTCTATATATAGAAGACCATTTTTTAAGATTCTAAAATTATCATCTTTTTTCTTCGCATAAAAAGTAATAATTTAAAATAAAAAAAGACTCTTTCAGACATTGCAATCTGATATGCTCGTTCAGCTTAAACATATAGAATGACAGTCCAAAGAGAATTGCGGGTTGCTAAATGAACTATTTTTAACTTTTGTTTTATTGAATATCGTACGAAAATATCATGATATAGAACTGAAAATTCCATGCGATTTGAATGTACTTGATCCAAGATCGATTTTTGAGAGTGAAGGGAAGAGATTTAAATTATCATTTTCTCCGAATGAATTGCTATTCAATAAAAATTAGTTTAATAGAAGAGAATATTAAACTAATATTTACTTGTTCATTATCATCTGATATAACAGGTGATAAAATAGCATTTAATAATTGAGCATTTTCATTTGATAAATTCACACTAATTTTTAAAAGAAGACAAATAAGTTTCGTTGCACATGATAAATCATGTGAACATCGATTTAATTCATAACGACTTTGTTCATATCGATCAGCAAGTGCAAGAATCTAAAATTACAACGAAAGAAAAACAATAGAATTAAATTTTTTTTTTGTTTTTTTTTTGCTTTAGAAAAACCTGTTGATTTGTATTTTCAAGTAAAATATCTAAATTATCAAGTAATGTTGGTGTTTTATCTTTAAATTTATTTAATAAACGTTTTTGTATAGCACGAAATTGTTTTGAACATATATCTAATGTTAAATTAATTTGTTCACATTCAACACGTGATTCATAATGATGATCAACTAATGAAAAATAATCGTTTAATGGTAATGGATCACCAAATTCAAATTCAATTATTGATTTCGCACTTAATCGTTCAATAAGTAAATGACAAAAAAGCCAAATATTTGAAAGAGAATCACTTTGAAAACGATATTTTTCTAACAAAAAAAAAACAATAAATTTAATTAATAAAATAAAATTGAATATATACGTGATTTAGATGATGCTAATATGGATATATTTTCATTGGAACCATAAAATCGAGTTGTTAAACTTTGCTGTTGATTATTTTCTTCACTAGAAATGTCTAAAAAGACAAAAAGTTATTTTATTTGAAATTTTTCAAAGTAATCTAAAGTGCAAAAGTCATGGCACAAAAAATTTTATTCGGTCAGTAGATTCCGACACAGAAGATCCACCTCTAGAGGGAGATCGATGTAAAAGATGTATTTGCAGTCTCAGAGCTTCTATTGTGTCCAGACAATTCCAGTTTTTCGAGCAAACTTTTGCAGATACTATTAAATTAGTTTTGGTCAGGTGCCGCCTGCGTATAACAAAATATTTCTCCAGACGTTAAATACTCATAATTAAGAATAATTTTCATTTTTTCTCGATGTCTACGATCATGGTCACTTTGTACTCTATTACCGCCACTTTGTCTAGGAACAAGTATTTGAATATTATCATAGATTAACGAATTCATATTTCCTCCACTCGTAATATCATGATATGTTGTGAGTGTGCAAGTCTTCTCTTTGGTAACACTCACGACCAAGTCCTATTAGTAGCTTCTTCGGTAATCGAAACCTCTCTAAAATTTTTAGTTTCTTGTCTGAGGTGAGATTGAACAACTATTAATAAATTTTGTAGGAAAAGTCTAAAATTGATAGATTTCAATCGAAACACAAACTAATATTCTGTACAATCACTATTTAGAAACAATCTAATAATAGTTGTTCAATCTTATCTCATAAAGAAATTCTAAATACATATTCGAAAAGAGCGAAAAAAAATCTACTTCTGGCTCTAATCAGCTATCTTTAAATGGCGTGAATTTTTTTGTACTAAGATTAAAATTTTCTTACCAGGAAAAATTGTATTTAGATCGACTACAGGTTTATTAGCGCCTAATGTTATTTTACATTGGCTACCAGTAGCAGCAGCTGAAAGTGGTTGTTGAAATGAACGTGCAACAAGTTTTAATGGTAATTTGTAAGCTTTTTGAATCGTCTGACAAAAATCTAAAGAAAAAAAATAAAAAATTTTTATTGTCTTTCATACTAATCAAAACGATAGAAAATTTCGCGATTATTACGAATTTAGAATTTATTAAATATATATAATATAACTTACTATCTGACAATGTATTATATGAAACTGTAAATGTTGCGTCAAGATTCCATGGTGTAAGATCATCTCGCATCCAAAATGCAATTGTTGCTGTACCAATAGCAGCTGCACCTAAAACAAAAGAAAAAATTTGTTTTCTTTTATATTGAATATTATATTAAAATACGAACCACCAATATGACCCATTCGAATTTCATTTGGTTGTGCACATAATGGACTGTGAACATGAATAGTAAGAAGAACATTTTGTATAGCTTCATTACATTTTACACGTATATTTAAATGTAATAATGGTACATTAGAATCAACATCATTTCTTTGAAATTTTGTGTCATCTGTTGTCTAAAAGTTGATAAAATAAAAAACAAACACAATTTTTTTTTTCTGTTCACAGAAAAAAAGCCAATTAACTTACAGTATATTTATTTGTATCATCAATTAGAATAGTTACTTGTGCATTTGCTTTTCGTTTTATTACTAAAGCTAAATAAAATAACGAAGAAAGAAACAAAAAAAAAAGAAACATTTATAATAACAAATAAAACCATAATTAAATATACAAATATTCTACTTGGATCATTCATTGCTTGTTTTATTTGTTTATTTAATTTGGTTAATTGTTCTTCAGCATCTCGAACATCAATTATTGTACTAGGCATTATAGTTGGAATTGATGTTGAAACAGGATCAGTACCCAAATAACAACATTGTAATAAACCGGTTTCGCTTAACGTACAAATCATCCCACGTATATTTCTGAAAAAGAAAAAGGATTTTATTCGTAAGAAATTTTTTAATTTTTTATAGACTTACTGAATAGTGCATACTTCAATTTGAACAGGAACAAAATCAATATGAGCTGCCCAACGAATATGAGCATCTTGAGCAATAAATAATGTATGAGAATGTGTACCAACAATATATCGAACACCAGTATTAGATGGATCAGATTGTGATACTAAATTGAATATTTTAATTATAGTTGTTAGAAGAAGTCTTACGATCGGATAAGAAATATATTAACTTCAATTCTTTTGCCTAATATTTTGACTATAAATAGAGCTCGATAAACTCTGATTGCAAGCAACAATCTGAGGTCTATAGATCTTAAAGCAAAAGATTTATAATGAAAATATTGGTTTTTTCTCGCTAGGGTCCAACAGAAGACTTTTCTGGTTTTCTACTATTTAAATGGGTTAACTTCTATTTTCTTATTAACAAAAAAAGATTCGCATGTCTATATTGTGCTATACATGGAGTACTTCAATTCGTTGTAATATTGAGGTGCGGAGAAGTTTCCATTGTTTGGGACGGTTTCAGTATGAATCGCTTCTTTATTAATAGCTACGATCGTGAGATTTTCAACGAACACTTGATTATAGTAAAAGGCAAACGATTAAAATTAATCGAAGATATTATGCGGCACTTTTTGACGATTCCTCAGATGAAGATTACTTAAAAACTACCTAATAAGTCAGGTAAAATAAAACCGTTTGACATATAGTTCTTTTATTGATGCTTGAAACAGCATTGAGCTATTGAATGAGAGATCTAACAATGTGAAATCTGTTTTCTATATTAAGATATCCTCGTCTGAAGAAAAAATTTATATTGATACTCTAGTTCCTTCACATGAAGGTCGATCAAGTCCTGATCAAACTATGAGAGTAAAGTACTTAAATTTACGTACTTTTTGCCTGGTAGGGAGACTTTTTGCGATTACTTTATTAGAACTCGTTTTTAGTTGATGACATCATTTATAAAAATTTAGTTCTACGGAACAAGAAAAAATATTGAAATCACTTCAAACGATACGATGTAATATCGTCATAACAAAAAAAAGCAAACAATTGAAGTTTTCTTATAGAATTCTGTTGTCAAAGACAAAATCGAAAGGACACTGTTAATCAATGAATTTTTTTTCTCGGCTCAATTTTGTATACACTAAGTGTTGGTATAGATCCATCAAAGTAATAATTTTAATTATGAGGATATGTAATCTTACCATTATTACTGGTTTCACTATTATAAATAATAAATGTACTTGGATTATATTCAAATTTGCTCATAAAGATTAATTGTCCATTGTCATGAAGACAAAATAAATTTCGTTCACCTAATTTGATTAAATATGTCAATTTATTTAAAAAGAATTTAAAAAAAATTTTACCTAAAACAACAATTGCCTGTGATGTATTTTTCATACGTTGTGTTGTTTGTATACCAAGTGCACATTCACCCAAATTAAATGACCATTCAGGTAATACTCGTTTTGATGATTGTGATACAGATACTGATGAATCCATATCCAAACCTTTTCGTCGTGCATCATTATTAATACTCGATCCTTGATCCGCACCACTTGATATTGCTAACGCTTGATATCTATGATTTTTCGTTTTTGTTAAAATTTCTTTTAACTAACGATGAAATGTTTTCAAGTATCAAATCGGCTTTCAATGAACGCTATATGCATCCTTTAGGTCCTAATGAATTATAAATACTCCGAAAAAAAAAACTTCGAGTTATTAGTTTATCACTGTTGAGATATTGCAATTTTTAAATATAATACTGTGATCCACCTCAGAAATAATAGGAATTTTGATTTGAAACATTGCATAGAGACAGATTTTGATAAGAATAGTTAATTATGAAAGTTTCAGATTTTTTGATTGCTCTGATTCTAAAATAATAACATCAGAATCTACCGATGTATATATTCATAACTCATTTAGATCTACATAATGCATGTAATCTCAACTTCTAAAGCAATTTAGCACTTAGAAAATTTCCCTAGTATATCCTGAGAGGAGGGAGGAGTACGTCATTGTATTTATAGTTCATTAAGACCTACATGTGACTTTAAAATGATTTAATACTTGAAAACGTTCATTGATTAAAATCGATTGAATATTTTCAACTTACTTATAACATTCAAGATGATAATTACTTGAAACAGTAACAATAGCATCTGATCGAGATAAATAACAAATAGGTCCCGGTAAATAAGTATGCGGAAGAGATTTAACCATTGATTGTCGTTCGTGTTCGAATACAAATAAAACACCATCAAGTGTTTGTACACAAATATATTCATAATTAGAAGAATCTTTATCTAACAAAAATTTTATATATTGAATAAATCAAAAAAACAAGAGCAAATATTTTTTTTCTTTACTTCCTCTTCCACCACTACCAAATTGTCCTTTACACATATTAAATGTTGGTCGATTTAAATTATGTTCATAATTTAATTCCAAATCAATTTGTCGACCATGTTCTGTCATACCGGATTGTTCTAAAAAGTAAATTTTTCTTTTTATATAGTTTATAGACAAAATAAATTTTTTTTTTTATTAACCATTATAATCATAAATAGAAAGTTTATGAGAGAATAAAACAGCTATTTGATTAATAGATGAAGTACTACAAAAAAAAATAAACAAAAATTATTTTATAAATAAAAATTCAAATTTTTTTCTTACCTAACAAATTTACCAATTTCAATTTGTATAATTGGCATACCAAGATTTTTTTCCAAAAGTAAATCACTTGTATGATTATTTGTTATTGAATTTGATTGTGAGGAACTTGGATTATATATTCGAACTATACCTTGATGACTCCCAACTACAATTTTATCTAAATAAGTAAAGAAAATAAATAATAAAAAAGATACAATGAATTTATATATTCAATTTACTATTTAAATCTTCTGTAAATGATCCAACTTTTAGACAACCATAATCGAATTCTTCTCCTGAACCAACTTGACAAGACCACCATTCACGTGCTTTAAATAACGACATATTTTATTGTTTAAAAAATTGATATTAAAATAATTGTTTGAGCAACATTCCAAAAATTATTTTGATTTTATTACATTCATTTAATATGAAAAGTTTAGAAAAAGAAATTCATCTGAAAAACAGAAGAAAAAAAACAACATGATGTTCTTTGCTTTTTTTTCTTTTCTTTTTAAACAGAAGCCATAAACTTCCTATAACAAACAGACATAACAACAAAAAAAAAAAGAAACATGATTTTTTTCAATTTTTATTCTTTATCATTTTCATTTGTAAGAAATTGTCGTTTTTTGGTTGTATTCATATATGGACGATATTGCCATTCGGTATCACATGCATCTAATTGATCAATTGTACCTAATTTTATTTGATATACTAAAAGAAAAAAATAAATAAAAAGATGAATTTCTATTCTGTTGAAGATATAACATCAATCGAATACTGTACTCTTACATTTCATTTCAAAACGTGGACCAAGTTCAGTTAATTCAATTTGACCTTCATTTTTTTTGTATATATGATGACTAAAAATAAGAAAATTTACAACAAAAATTCTTTTATAATTAATTCAAATATTTTGTTTTTGTATCTAACCGAAAGGATATATAATCATCTTGATTAACAAATGTAATTGTTCTATGACTATCTTCTTTTGGTACAGGAAATAAATATTTAAGTATATTCATTGTTCTTTGTCCTAATTTTGATGTCATATTTGAAAATATTAAATGTGGATATTGTTCAGACATAGGTCCAACATTAGGTACATCATGACGCATAACAACATTACTCAATGAAAATGATGCTGTTGGTCTAATAAATATAAAAATTAAATTAAATTTTGTTAAACACGATCTAAAATAAGTGTTCAAATATCGGGATAAAAATTTTGACCTTCCACAGACCATGACAAATTTAACTGTGGGAACGTTACAAACCGTGATTAAGCATACCATAATACTAGTACGGTATTGAGGTATTGGCACTGACTCTAACACTAATTAATACAAAACACTATTCAATATTGGCGAATACTAATATCACTCAATACTGATACCGATTAATAACAATACCGATCCAATATCTATACCCGCCAATACTAATGCCTATTTAAAAAAATAAAGCGGATGGGAATTTTCTAATAATTTTTGATAGAAACAAGATGGAGATGAAGACGTATCGAATCTTATATTACAAGTATTTTGATCAAACTTTTTGAAGACCAACCTACCCTCTGATGTGACTATAGTGAATTTTCAATTATCCGGTGTGCATCCAAGCCGTCAATGGGAGGCCTAAAACCTACGCAATCCTTAGATTTGTAAATTTAGTTATTCAAAAGTCATAGGCATTCTAGTCAAAATTCTCGGCCGGTTCTTCTAGCAATTGTTGTGAAAAAATCACATTTTTATTTTTATTTAATGTTAAAAGGAACTATTTTTTGACACTTTTTTAAAATTTGACTAAAAAAACTTGAGGAAATATTGTAGGAGAATCTGTAATATATGATTTAATGCGATCTTAGATAGTGAAAACCACAGTGCTCTATCTTGATTCTATCAAAAGTTATTCAAAAAATATCCACCCGCCCCTTTTTTTTTGGAAATGAGCATTAATAGTAACTTATACCAATAGTAGTCAATACCAAATAGTATTGGTATTGTGGCATGTCTAACCATGACAGATATTGTTGATATACGATCACAGACCATATATAAATAACGTTTTGTTATAATATCTAAACTACTTTCTCATTGTATTTCTGAGGAGAAAGGTGAAAAAATATGTCTCAAAACAGCTAGAAAAAAATGATCTCCTTGTGATTAGCAACAGCAGCTGTATTGTGTTTCACATTTTTATTTCGTAAGGATTGTGCTAATAACTTGTTTTTTTTTTAATACTTACCCATAAGGAAAATGACTTATTTGAATAACATCTAAATAGATAAATTGATAATTTTTTTTTCACATTAAAAATAAAACAATGATGATTGATACAAACCAGGTACACCTCTTGTTTCTTGAACAAGTATTAAATCAGTTACTTGATTACTACGACAAGCTTCAACTATTTGTCGAGTATTATAATTACCACGATTAATACGTTGAGAATTTGGTATTAAACGATTAAGTTCCTAAAAATAAAATAATAAATTTTAATTCAACAATTTAATCATACTTACTTTAGAAAATTGTTTTAATTTTGAACTTGGATCATGCGATGTTGTTATTATAACTTTCGGATCTTCAACACCAGCCCAACGATATTCATCATCTTCAGCTGAAAGAATACCTATCGACAAAAAAAAAATAAACCAAACAATTGATAAATTATTATTATTATTATTATTCTACAACTAAATAACTTATACCTTCACCACCGGCATCATCCCAATCAGTTTGTTGTTGTAATTTTAATGCATCGTCACGAAGATCTGTTGGTATTTTTCTATTTTCTATATTAAAAACAAATTGATTTTCATGATATATGTATAAAATAATATTTTACCATCAATAGCCTGTTTCAGACGGTTTTTTTTATCTTCAATTGTTTTTTGTCGTTGTTCAATTGTTTTTCTATATATGTATTCACGTCTTAAACGTGCTTGTCTTCTCAACATCTAAAATATTTTCTTATTCTTCTTTTTTTTTTATTAGATAACAAAAGAACATTTTCTTTTTATTATTACAAAAAATACAACATGAAAAAAATAAATAATAATAATTAGTTGTCTTTACGACGATGTTGACTACGTCTTCGAATTAATGTTAAATCTTCATGAAGTATTTCATTTAATGAGAAACCACATGCATCAAGTGAACGAAAATGACGATTCAATGCATTAATACGTTCTTTACCAAGTTTTTCATATACTTCACGTAATAAACGTAATGAACGAATACGATGAAACATAATTACACAATCTTCTTCATTATCTCCCCATCGTTTATCAATATCTTGAATTTGTGTAAAATACATAGGACAACGATTTGGATTACTATCCCAATTTTGGTTATGATCATATATAGTATTTTTTCCATTACGTGCTTTATCACATTTTTCAACAGGTTTCCCACAAAAATAACACCAAATTTGTGAACATGTCGGACATGTCATATGTGTACAAGAATCATCTTTCATACCAGACAAACCACATTTAGGACATTGAACCTTTTGTCCATTTTCAACAGCTTGATCAAATAAAAATTTATCATTTCCTAATGCTTCACATGTAAAATGTTGTAACATTTCAGCTTGTTGAGCAGCAGATGCGTAATTACTATGAAATTTTGGACAAGCTTTTCGACATATTAAACATGATGCTTTACCACAACCTTCACGTTCACAATGAAATATACTTGAATCATTTATACTACGTATAACAGCAAAACAACAAAATGGACAATTATCTAAACGTTCACCTTCACCGACTAATTCTTTTGCCCAAACTAATACTAACATATTTTGATGATAAAAATCAAGTTGTTCGGGTGTTAATTGTCGTTCAAATACATTTGTATTTAATTCAATATGACATAGAACACAACGTAAAGGTATATAATGTTGTGGATCAGAGAAGAATAAACTAATAATCTGTTTTGAACAATCTGTACAAAAATGATGTCCTTGTACACATTGTATACCTGGATGATCAGGTTCTAATTCTGATTCACATGCACCACATAAAGTTCTCTTCTTATCTCCTTTTGTTTCTGATGTTGTTGGTCGTAATTCATTGCGCGTTGTCGTTGACATTTTCTGTTATTTCTAGTAATAATTTGTAAGTTGCGTTTGATAGAAAAAGAAATATAGGTAAAAGTGAAAATAAAAAGAAATACTTATTTTATTATTAAATGCACATGAAAAGGAAGAAAAGAAAAATAAAACAGCGACAACAACATATTCATCCAAACGAGAGTAGAGATCGGCAAAATAAACAGGAACGACAAAAAAGAAAAATACGAAAAAAACCTTGCTCAGCTTATTTTGCATAATATGTTGGAAAATAACTTTTAAAGGATATGACTGTAAAAACAGAAAACTAATGACTTACCTGTAGATCAGTTGTAACGATAAAAATAAAAATGATTTAATTTCTGTGTTTTTTTTATTATTGTCGATGATGAAAGATAAGTAAAAAAAAATAAATATATCTTTGATTCTTGTTGTCTTTTTTTTTCTTCGAAGTAAATGCAAAGAATGATTATTGAAGATGTGGAATCGTTGTCGGCTTATTATTACCATATACAGCTACAACACCATAAGATAATAATGAACCAATACAAGTGCCCGCAGTCAATGCCTAAACAGGTTTAATAAAAAGATTTTTTTAATAATTAATTAAGAGAAATAATTTTCTTTCTTTTTTTTTATTTTAGAATATTTTTTTATTATGAAGATGCAATGCAAAGTCATAAAGAACTATATATAGATAATAATGACAGGAAATTGGTAAAATACGGTCTTAGCACTATTTTACTTGAGACATATTGATTGATAGAGCTTGAAATTCTGAGTCAAGATCTCAATAAAATAAATGTTTGGAAAATGTTGTATTTACTTATCATATTTAGCTATCCATGATAGTTATGTCCATCACAGTCAAAAGTTAACTGAGAAATTTGAAAGACTTTTTTTAGAAAAAAAAGAAACATTATTTTCTTCAGTGTAAGCGCTTAGAAAAATCTAAATAATTCCTCTAAGTCTCATTATAAAATCAATAAACTAGAGTGCATTCGATAGTAGACACTGGGCTCTATCTAATGAACTATAAATTACAAAATCGATCAATTTAGCGAAAATAAACTTCTTAGGGCGTAAGGACCCCTTAAAGTCAAGCAAATTTCAGATTGATTTTGTTGAATTTTTTAAAAAACTAATTCAACATGTGTTTACTTTTAACTTGAGTTCTTGCTGTTTTCATAGGATAAATTTTCATAAGTATATATATAAAACAGAAGTTGGAATGTTTCGTTGTTGGTGATAGAGAGTTCATTTCAAGTTTCTTTTTTTCTTTCATACGGATAACATAAACAAAGAGTGCTTTGAACTGTCATTATTGATTTTACTTAAGAAATGTAACATCAATTGTTAGATACAAAGAAAATCATGTCAGATGACTTATTGATTATTTCCAATACTTACCTAAGATTAGAAGTGCCCCAAAGTCGTCAGGATTGGGAAGGAGATCGATGATTTAGGAGACCGATTTAAAGTTTTTTTTACTAAAGTTAACTGGATTTTTGCGAGAAGGAGAAGGGCTCGAACGGTTTTTTAGGAATAGATGAGCAAAACAAAAACAAAAATTTTTCAAAATTGAAAGGTCACTTCCTCGGCTTCTCCCTGCCTAGGACAATAATAAGAGAATATGAAAATAAACTTTATTAAATGATATAACATTGATGCACATAGAGCCAACTTTTGGAATTACTAGCTACCTTAAACAATCGAATTCATGTCAAGAAGAAACTGCAAGGGTGGCACCCTTCAGCACTTTTCAATAATTTTTAGTACTGATATACTGTAGTTACATCTTTGATTCGTATTCAATAATTCAAATATATAATTGATTTTTAAATCAATTACAGTAATTCTAAAAGTTTTCTCTATATACATCAATATGATATGATTATTAACATTTGTTTTGATTCTTTTTTTTTCGTATTATTCTCTTCGGTGAAAACTAAACATTATTTTCGAATTGCTTCACATGTATTTTTCTTACTTGACAATAAGTTACATGTATTTAGTGAAGTCAATTGTTATGACAGGCATTTTCTTCAGATGAGATCATAAGAATTTCCTTGTTATCTATATGATTATATCCATATTTAAATTCTTCTCCTTTTCTCTTGTTATTAGCTATATATCATGGATTTTCCTTTTTTATCATATATATATATACAGGATATTCCAAAAGTCAATCGTTAAATACAACTACAATAATTCTTCAACGATTCACATGAACTTTTCGTTATTTCATAGAATATTTCACTCATAACTATTGTTTCAAATAATCTACATCAATACTCACAAATGAAACTATATATTTCGATATATATGGTTGCAATTATGTATATGATCACCGAAACGAACATTACCGAAAAGAAAGATTGTCAAATACCTTTTGACCATATATGTTCATGAGTTTCGTTTCGATGATCATTTCTTACGTTCACTCTTTGTGAATATTTATCATATCTATATACTGCAGATATCATCTCAACATATTGCCGATAGGTCTAATCGTTGAAATGCAAATCATCGAATTTCGACGAAAAGTATATTGATCATGGTTTCATGCTTTAGAGTGGATGTCGATCATTTGAAACAATAGTTATAGATGAAATAAAACTTTCGAGAATATTCTATGAAATGATGAAAAGCTCAATGTAAATCGTTGAAGAGTTATTTCAATTTTATTTAACGACTGACTCTTGTAACACTATGTATATGTAATAAATATTTTTCTTTCCTTTTGAGCTTCCTTTGTTCTTTATAATCTGTACTTATATTAAATTGTTACAGAGAGTTTGAACAAATATAACAATAAATGAAAAGTGGGATGAAGATTTCGCATCAATAATAATATTTTAAATCAGTATTTACTCACGTTATCTATATGAAAGCAAAAAAGAATTCTATCGTCAACAAAAAATAAGAACAGCTCATGTGATAATAAATCAACATAAATATAGTCCAATTTTTTGTAATCGTATAATTATTTATAGTTTATTCTACATTCTCAAAAATTAGACTCATTAGTAATTTATTTATTTTTTTGCAATTAAAAAAATAATTCCCGTTTTTGTTTTCGAAAAAAGAAATCAATTAATATTCTATGACGAATGCAAATATTTCTCATAAAAAAAAAATAAAAAACAAGAATTCATCTTTAAAATAAGATTTTCATAAATCAATATATATTTATTCAACATACCATCATCATAAGTGCACCGGCAGTACTACTTAATTGTGCAGGTACTCGTCGTGGTGCATAGATCATATTAATTGAATTACAATATCCATGTGATATAGAAAAAGTTAAAACTAATAAAGCATAAATAAAATCATTTTTAAATAAATATGGATATCCATTTGTATTTGGAAAATTACAAAAACCAAATAAAAATATAAAAATAAATCTTGTTAAACATATAAAAAATAATGTACGTGGATGTAATAATGATGGTAGTTGAATTTTTAATGATATCATACGTCCAAATGTATCACCTATATAAAATAAAAGAAATGTCATTACTTGGACATATAATCGTTCAGTCCATAATATATTAGAATAATTAATTGATGGATAAGATGGTTGAATTTTTGATAAATATGCTGGAAAAATAGATAATGTTGACATAAATGTTAATAATATTCCATAAAAATTCCATTTTGTATATTGATAAGCAACATATAAACGTTGACGTATAGCTAATGATGTTATACTTACTGTTAAATGATGACTATCATTATAAGATGATGATGATAATGATTCATGATATAATGGTTCATATTGATTATTTACTTCTTGTATAGCTGATGTATATATTTGAAATAAATGAGTTTTTTCAAGAAAATAATATACTATTATATTTAATATTATAACTATAATTGCAATAAAAAAATAAATAGCTGCTGATGTTGCTACATGACTTGAAACTAATATTGATATTATTGAACATATTATAACAAATAGACCACCAAGTGATTGACCAGATACAAAACCTTAAATAAAAAAAAATACTTCGATTATATTTAATATATAATAAAAAAAAATTGTTTTTTTTTTTTGAGTATTAAAATATTAAATAAATTATGTTTAAGAAAAATAACGTGTGCAAATTTTATTGTTTAGTAGTGTTCATGCTTATTTTACATATAACACTCACCAGATATTCTGAAGTCTGTTTCGATCAATATTCTCCTAAAATTGTAATAAATGCTCAATTCAAAAAAAAAATAGTATAAACTATATTCATGGCTTGTATTTAATTATAAAATTTCGTTTAAATTTCAATGTAAAAAAAAAAATGTTTTTTTTGTGTTTTGCATTTGCATACTTCATTTATTTTTTTAATATATTATATAGAATGAGAATGTACGAAATGCGCTGCATTTTATGATACATTCGTCAAGAGCAATGAATAAAATTTAAAAGTTAAAAGGTGTGTCAGACAAAAAAGTGACGTGCTTTTTTTTCTACAAAATAGTGTGAGATAATGAGAGAATTACCCGAACTTTAGCTCGTCCAAAAGACAGTCTCGGTAAGACTAGAGAAAGCTTAAAAGGATTCGTGCCCATGAGTCAAATTATGATCGTTTTACTGAATTTTCTACCTGAAATTTTGCTCATAGATAGATATAATGATCCTTGGGGTAACTTGAAAGTTTCAGCTGAAAAGAATGTTTCTTTTTCGAGATATTGAATTTTCAAGTAAACTTGATTTTTGTGACAAGCGACTATTTGTTGGAAATTTCAATATCTTGACAAATGAACATTCTTTTCGGTTAACTTTTTCTAGTCTTTTCGAGACTTCATTGTATCCTTTTTTGTTTGTTTTCTCTATTTAGATACATTCGTTTACAATTTATATTTATGCAGAGTTCTATCATTGATATTAACTAGTATACTAAAATAGAATGAAGAGTATTTTGTCTATTCAAAGTTATCATTTCATGTTTCTTTGTTATCTATATTAATCTACATAACAGAACATTCCTTTTTTTTTTCTTCTTGTCTAATATTTTTATGTATCTTTCTTTTTCTTATTTGTTATTCTTTAATCAACATTTAGATTCTTTTCATAATTGTATACGTGCATGTTTCATCTGAATAAAGGATAAATTCATAAGAATATTCCATTTCAAATTGACACATAGTTTAATCAACAATAACCAGCTTCTCATTACTACTATTATCAATGTTACATTCATTTTGAACAGAAGAAATTAGTAGTGCATATCTTAAAACTGGTATAACATATGGAATTTATGTATATTTATGAATTTTGTAGAGAAACAACAAAACGTCACTATTTTTTTTTTGGTGCAACTTTTTTTCTTTATCCAAAACGAATATATCACAAGATGAAGTGCATTTCGTACTGTTTCGCTACACATAATATGATTAAAAATAAACAAAATACGCTAATAAAAACACAAAAAAAAAAACCAACAAAGCTAAGGAATCAATTGGCCTTCACTATAGTTTGCAAATATTCTATTTTCAAAAAAAAACCATTCGAATAGTTCATTACATAAAACTAAATGTTTACCTTGAATATATCGACTAGGTAATGTTGATGCTAATGAATAGAAACAATTAAGTAAAACAGTACTGCATACACTTTGTATCACAACAAGTATCATAGTTATAATAAAAAATATAACACGCCAATTTTCAACATTAATAAAAACAAATGATAAACAAACACTTAAACATATTGTTATACCACATAATGATGTATATATTCGATATTTATGAATATATGGAACAAATATAAATGTAACTAATATGATCGTTATTATATTTGTTAATGATGAACATAATGTAACTATATTTTCATATGATAATTCAAGATGAGATATTGATGCATTAGGTATTGCTGTATTATGTAGTTTATGACGAAAATATGGATCTGCTACTATAAAAAAATTAAATGGTAATAGAACTCCAAGACCAAGCCAAACAAATGCTAAATAAGACCCAGTACGATTATAGATAGATCCAATAAGTGGTATTGCATTGTTTGATATACAAGCTTGATTTATTGGAGTGTGCATTTTAATCTTAAATATAATATTAACTTATATTTTCATATATAAAAGAGATTCTTTTGTTTATATTATTACTAATAAATTTGAGTATGAAATTAGTAAAAAAAAAAACTTTTTTTTAGCGACAAAAGGTTTAGCAGGGAATAATTTCATTAAGCTGAATGCAAATATTTTATGTTCGATATAGTTTTTTTCTTATAAAACACATGAAACTTGAGTTGGTGTGATATGAATACCTAAATGATAAGATTTATCAAGTTCATTCATACCAACAGGAATAGTATATTGACTAGTAGGTAAATCAATATTTTCATTAAAACGTTCAAAATAATCTTTTATATTTAGAACTACGTCATAACAACCAAAATCATCAATTGTATTTACTGTAAATAATATATTTTGATTATTCTCATGAACTATATCATGTTTTATAAAAATACGATCAGTATTATTAATACGCCATAAATCGTATTCGATTTTATCAGCAAACTTATCATGTGTATCATCGTAAACAGATATAAACATTTGTCCAGTCATCTTAAAACTCAAAAATTATCTAGAATTTAAAAACAAAGAATATCAGAATAATTAAATATAAACATTTGACAATTTATACAACATTTATTTCATTCTCTCTCTATACATACACAAATACAAAAAAAAAAAAGAATCCTCAAAAAAAAACAAAATGCACATTTAGATGAAATCCAAATAGATTTGTTTTGATGTTTTGTTTCACATGAAAGAACCACCATTTTGAATTATAATCACAAATAATAAAAATAGATGTTTTTTGTTATCGTTTAATTCTTGATGCAATCCAATCTAAACCCTGATATAAACCTTCACCTGTTAATGCACAACATGCTTGAATATGCCATGCTTGATCTTTAATTGATGTTAAACATAATTGTTTAGATATTTCAGCTGATGACATAGCATTTTTAATATCTTGTTTATTAGCAAATATTAAAACAGATGCTGAACGTAATTCTTCACATTGTAACATATGAAATAATTCTTCTTTTGATAATAATAAACGTTCACGATCAGTACTATCAATAACTAATATAACATATTCTGTATGTGTATAATATGTTTGCCATGATGAACGTAATGATTCTTGTCCACCAATATCCATCATTAAAAAATGTATATTTTTAAAAACAACTTCTTCAACATTAGAACCAATTGTTGGTGATGTATGAACAACTTCATTCATTAAAAATTGATAGAGTATTGTTGTTTTACCGGCATTATCAAGACCGACAATAATTATTTTGTGTTCTTCATTACCTATATTGAAATTAATTAAAGATAATTAAAATAATTGAGTTTTGTTTTCTTACCAAAAAGTGACCATATTTTTGAAAATAAAAATCCCATATTATACTAATTTTTTTTTTTGGTTTTTTTTATTAAGTATACATAGAAAATAATTATATTATTGCAAAAAAGAATAGAAATAATATTTTCATCTTAAAACAAGAAAAAAAAACACTATAGGATAAAAGAAAGATTAAGAGTACGTATTTGTGTATGTATTTGAGTATAAGATGCCCTTTTACCGTATGACAACATGTAGTTACCAAAAGATGAGATGACGACAACTTCACTTCAAACATTTATTTATAACGACAAACAGTGGAATAGGTAAAAGATTTTCTCTTTTCTTTTAAATTGTTTTCATTGATTATTTAATAAACCAATAGAAATTTGTTCAACTAAGAGAACATTACGACATCTAACATTCGGTTAGTATAGATTTTTCATTGCTAAAGAATGAATTATTTTTCTGAATTAGATAAAATCATGCAAAACTCACAACAAAGTAATGATCCCGTCACTGTAATAACGTATGGATGATTCAAACAAAAAAAAAAACATACCTGTCCAGAGGAGTATCTCGAGCAGAACGGAATGCACACTAGGCAACCCTATCGAGCATGTAGACTATTAAAAACGAATTTTTTTCACAGAAATATTAGCTTCTTGTACCAGAGGTGTGCCTGTGCATCTTCCTTGGTCAAAAAACCCTATGGAGAGAAGTATGGATTAAAAAACCTTTTCACGAAACAAAAAGTTATTCTCCTGCTGAATTACACATTGTGAGATCTTAATCCTATTTGTACTTTATTTCTATAACTATATCTATCTCTCCATCTCTTCACAACAATCTAACGACTATATATATATAAGATGATAACATGGGAAGAATCCTTAATGGAAAACCTCAACAAATGATGAGCAAAGAAAGAAGAACAGATAGAAAGCGAAAAGTCCATCACGAATACATATATGACAGGGAAGAAAAATCAATGATGCATAACTAACAACAAGGGAAAAGAAGAAGAACCTGAGTACATACAGTGACTGTCAAAATTGTGCGACCAATTGTTATTTGGATTTTTTTTCGTAGCCGTAAGTGCTAGAAAGAATCCCGATAGTGATTTGAATAGAGCAAATTATTTCCAACAAGAATCCAAGAAAACGATAATCGTCAGTAAATGTCGAAAAATAGGATTTCTAGAAAACCAAAACCATGGTTTTTCAACACCTAGAAGATGCAAACAACAAATTTGTTTTAACAGCTTAGAATGATAGAGCAGCCAATTCTCTACAAAATGAGATGTCTCCGAACTTTCTATGACCTTCTCTTCAAAAGCTATAAGCGTCACAAAAACCAAAAAAATGCTGTTTTTTATCGATTTTCTGATGAATTTCACTCTTTTTCGATTTTTCTGACGCTTATAACTTTTGAAGAGAAGGTCGTAGAAAGTTTGGAGACGTCTCATTTTGTAGAGAATTGGCTGCTCTATCATTCTAAGCTGTTAAAACAAATTTATTTTTTGCATCTTCTGGGTGTTGAAAAACCATGGTTTTGGTTTTCTAGAAATCCTGTTTTTCGGAATTTACTGACGAGTATCATTTTCTTGGATTCTTGTTGGAAATAATTTTCTCTATTGAAATCATTATCGGGATTCTTTGTAGTACTTACGGTTACGAAAAAAATCCAAATTGCACTCGGTCGCACAATTTTGACAGCCACTGTATGTACAATCCTCTAGATAAAGAGGAAAAATCCTAATGACTGCATCTGAAGAGGAGGCAGATTATAATACACCCCCCCCCCCCCCCCCCTCCTTGGAAAATCTCTGGCTACGCCTGTGTCTTTTACTCAAAAATAAGATTGATGAAAAAAGTGGAATTCGAAAAACAAGACCGTTTGTAATAGAAAATCCTTGAGGGAAACTCTTATCCTAAACTAGTGTGAAAAAACTTTTTGTCTTAAAAATTGACAAATGGTACATCAGTAGATACAGTTTTTCATGCTGATTTCAAAATGTCTTTATTTTTTTCTCACAGTGTTTCGATAACAAAGAAAATATGAAAAACTTTAAAAAACCTGTATCGCAGTTCAGAAGTGTTTTCACATCTCCGTGATAACTGAGTATATGTCCCAAATGTAGAAAAGTATTCTCTGAAAGTTTCGTCAATACCACATTAGTGAAAAAAGTGACGACCAACTTTACAGAAGACGTCTGTTCGGAAAACGAACAATTTTTTTTTTTAGAATGAAAATTTACTATTTAAATCTCGAAATAGCTCACTTTGATGTTTTTCACCTAATGTCCACGTTGTTGCCCCTTTGGAAGGGAAGTCACCTTCACAATCTTGGAAAATTTTCGTTTTTTCCGAGCGATACAGAATGATTTTCTTATTTTTTTGTTTATGAATCTCGACAACAAGGGTCGACCCCAAACTTGGTGACATCGGAACACCCCTGGCTCCAAATAATGCTTCTTCTATATTATATCATTCTTTAGTTATAGCTCAGATCTATTTGGTATTGTAATTTATCAATTATCATCTAAAGTTTATCATAAATAAGACAACGAATGCATGTTTGATATTTTGCATATGTTATGTTAGTTACATATCTGCTAGATTATGCTTCATCTTCGACTTTTTCTCGACCTTCATAAAATCATATCGATCGTTTTTTTTTCAAATCTCATTGTGAGAGATACAGATTAATTTCTGAAAATTAAACATTATTCTTCATGAGTTATTTTTGATTGAATAGGAAGTACAGTGTGCACTTTATTATAGAAGTCAACATTTTTCTTATCCACTCAAAATAAAGATAAATAGTTTTCATCGAAATTTTTTTAATTATCATGTCAACTGACTAATGATGAATTATTGAAGAAGTATATATAAACAGATATTGTCCTCGAGCTTTCTCTATGTGATATTATGGTACCGGCGTCATTAATTTTGATGTATCCGAAGTACTTCTCAATACAAAAAAAACGCAGTATATTCTTTGGTATGTATATATCTATTTGTTATTTCTGCTTCTATCTTCTATGTTTAACGTGGATAAAGATAAACAGAAAAGATTTATTAGAATTTTATTGTTGCATTAATTAATAATACATAACTAGAGACCTTCTTGACTACTTGAAAGATATTGCACTGCATATTTCAGATAAGGTCAACACTTATAACTGACAATTTTGATAAGGTCAGCTCGAACTATTATCAATTTTGCACATTAAGAAAAATAGAGAATCTTGTCTTTTTCACCAAAACATTTCATATCGAAATAAATAAATATTATCTTGACGTCAAAATTTTAGCATGAATGCAACGAATTCGTACTTATTCATTAGTAGGATCTTTAAAAATTTACAAAAATAGTAAATTTAAATAAGAAGTGAACTAAAATTTCTTTTCTCTTATTACAGTTATTCGAGCTCATTATTTGAATTCTAGAAGAATCGCATCTAGATTGAAATCGAACATTAAATGGATGTGTTCATCGTTTGATAGTGCATTGATTACAAAAGTTTATTAGCGTATTAAATACTTGGAAAAAATCCTCAATGAAAACAACGATACTATCATTATATTTATTATTAAATATGATTCTAACTTTAAACGAATAATCAGCCAAATATTATTACTTGTCAATTATAAATTATTTATATATTAGATTTTCAAATATTTTTCAAATAAATTTTACCTATAAAGACAAAAACAATAACAAATCATGACATCTAATACTACTACTTGTAAATACTTTTCTTACGGTTATATACAAGCCTAAATGGTATATATATTATCTTTATTATCATGAAACGAAACATGTATTTATTCCTTTTTTTCTTTTTGGATGAACATTAAATCTTATCGGATTATAATGTAATTGAAAAAGATTCATAAATGAATAGTACAAAACAATATCTAATAGATGTTTGAATAAAATGCACATATCTTTATTATTCTTCTATGATTTTTTTCTCTTGTCATTTTGTGAAGGTGAAAAATTTGAAGCTAACGAAGGAGGTCCTTCCATTGGTTAATCGTTTTTAAGTTGGAACTATGTACGTCATATAGACCCTGATGAGTTATGAATATTCTAAAAAAAATTTGGCCCTATAGTTTATTGCTGTCAACATATTGTATTTTTCAATTCAATGCCGTGGCCTCCTCAGGAACGCCAGTAGAAAAAGATTTTTGATTTTCGACTTGAAACTTTCTATAGAGACAAACCTCATTGACAATAGTTTATATATTGTAAAAGTTTCAGATATCTTCGTTGTTCCTATTCCAATATATAGCAATGGTAAAGACGCACTTTTACATCGCTTATATACACCCGTAGATTTGATATTCATATTTTAGAACAGGAACAGATCAAAGGGCCTGATACTTTTACGAGTAAATATTCTTGTTAAGCTTTGTTTCTATATAAAGTTTCAAGTCGAAATTCAAAAATCAGTTTTATCTAGTGTTTCCGAGGGATCCACGGTATTGTATTGAAAAATGCTATAAAAATGCAATATATCAGCAGTAATAAGCTATGACACGGAACTCTTTTCAAGATATCCATAACTCATTATAGTCTTCATGATGCACATGCTATTGGCTCAAAAGCTATTAACTAATTGGGAGACTTTCCTCGTAAGTCAGTTATCCTTATTGATTTCACAAAGTAGAAAAAAAAGTTTTATATTGTATAAATCAATTCGATTAATTCACATGATTAATATTTATTGAACGTAAAATTTAGATATTCGACAAGAATGAAACTAATCTTTTACATCTTATTAGATGGGCTTTTTTCTCTGATCAAATAAAAAGTAGAATAGTTTTTATGAAACAATTGGGTTTTTTCAAAAGTTTTTCAAATGAAACCGATGAAGTTTTACATTCAATAAAACAATATCATATTGAATATACACATCGATATCCTTCGATAGCATTACTGCAGTATCAGAACATTTTGATATAGTTTAATGAAGAAAATATTTTTTCTTTTTCTGTATATACTATTCATTAAAGACAAATATGCCAATAAGTTTTGTATAAAATGAAGACAGAACATAAACCCATATGATGTAGTGCATTAAGAAATTTACTTGAAAGATAAAAGGTAAAAAAAACTAATTCATAAAGTAGAAAAAAATGAATACAAACAAATCATGTATAATGCAATGATTATATCGAATATATATATGTTGCGGTCCAAATTAAAATTTGCCGAAATGAAATTCAAACATTTTTTTGATGCACCGAACAACTTAAAGAAAGATCAATAATTACAGCATGAAATGGAATAGATCTGAGGAAGATCTGTGTGAAGATGAGGGCACGATAAAGAATATGGCCTTACTCCTTTTATTACTTTTCCGTTACCCCGATCTCCTTACCCAAGTTCCTTCAAATCCTCACCTTATGTCCGACCTCTTTCATGTTCTAAGAATTAATCTTTATTTAACTTCTTCAGTTCATCAAAAAAATATTTTAATTTCATTTAGGCATTAAAAAATAGGTGATGAACAACAAGCAACTACCTCGTTTTGTTTTCTCGAGCATGTTGAGAACAATTGAACTTTGATGATTGTTATTTTAAATCTTTACACGTCATACATAAACAGTTGACAGATACTTTAGACAAGCACTGACGAAATATTCTGACCTCATTCATTAGATAACAATCAATCAACAAGAGGTTTGCATGGAAATGGATGATCTGACAGCTGACATTATATCTCTTTAATGTAATCAATAATGATAGTCCAAAAGCAACATTTGTTTATGTTATCCGTATGAAAAGAAAACATTTGTGAAAAGGCTTTTATTATCAAGAATAAAATGAACCGATTGAATCGAACCAAATTGGAGATATTCGAATCTTTTTTTTATCATGTAGTTACTTAAGATCCATGATATAAATTTTTGAAAATACTTTTTCTAATAAATAGTCTGATAAGATAGAGCTTTGTCAGCCAATGAATATATTAACAAAAGTCTATGCCGTTCTCTCTTTTTTTATTTGCTTTTTCAAATAATATAACTAAAAAAATACAATTGTTATAAAGAATTCTACAATAGGTTTTTTGTTTTTGTTAAACAGTCGTCATCATTAATTGAATTCCCTTATTATCAAAATTACTGTTTATATTATCATCAAAGTCAGTTGGCATTAAATCATCACTTGTACTAAGTGCTACATATGTATATGTATTTGCAATTGCACGATTATGAGCTGTATTAGCACGTGTTGTTGAATCAATAGATGATGATGAATGAGAATTTGATGATGAAACAGCAATAATTGGTTTGGTTTTTGTTGTTGATATTAAATTTTTATAATGATCTATTGATGAATTATCTTTATAAAAATTTTTTGTTTTTATTGATAATAAAATAAAATAATATTTACCTTTTGTTAAAGGAATTGAACTATGATTATTAATACCATTTGTTTTAATCATTGATAACTTATGACTTTTTTGTTTATTACTTTTATGTATACAATCAATAAAACATAAAACCATTGTTAATATAACAATAAACATAAGTATTGATGAACCAATAAATACTACAAATATATGTTTACGTGTAGATAATAAAGGTATTGATGTATATTGAAAAAGAGGAGAAGATATTGATGATGATGAAATTGAATATGCATGAGCCATACGTTTACCTTGCTGAAATCCTTCATTATCAAGATTCTAGATAAAAGAAAATAAATTTTTTTTTTCAAATATTTATTATTTAATAGTTGTATTTATATTTAAACTGTTACATGTAGACTTGTGACGAAAATTAATCGCTTTTAAATCGGAACAATATGCATCATGTAGATCCTAATGAAGTATGAATACCTTGACAAGTATCGAGTACTTTATCTTATGGTTGCAAGGATATTGTATTTTTACGGTATGCTTTAAGTCAATGTCATAGTTCCCCTCGGGTATATCAGGAAAAATGAATTTCTAGATTTTGACTTGAGAGCTGTGCTCAGAGACAAAAATTAATGAGAATAGTTTATGGTAAAAGTTTCAGATCGTTTGATTGGCTTCTATCCTGAAATTAGAACAGTGAATTTGTTAGTGTATTTGAGCAATATAAAACACATACTTTTATCAAAATCGTATCTTAAGACAGGAACAACGAAAATATCTGAGACTTTCATAATCAACTATTCTCGACGGGATCTGGCTCTGCGGAAAGTTTCAAGTCAAAATATGAAAATCAGTTCTCATGGCGTTTCTGGAAAGAGCCACGACATTGATTTAAAAAATACCGTAAAAATTCAATTCGTCTATAATAGTAAGCTGAACGCTCGATTTCTGCTTTTATTGAAACAGTGGTCCTAATGCTGATCGTGTGAGAGTTAAGGGATCCCTTTCGGGGTGTTTGAAGAATGGCTCATCAGAAATATTTGAAACTTTCAGAACAGAGAGATCTTGATAAGTAGAAAAAATATCATAGACTTCAAATTCACAAATACTTTCTTCTAGGAAATATCTGGATCACAAAGGCTAAAAATTGTTCCTCCTGCCATTCGAATAATAAGATCAAAACACTGAGCATACCTGCAAACATACATATTCTTTTTACTAGCTTTTTTTTAAAATCTATCAAAAATCAACAAAGCAATATTTTTCAAAACAAAAGAAAGTAGGCATCCTAAATAGTATTCAATACCTGTAAAAGAAAAGTTTCAATTCGATCGGACATACTATGTCGGAAGAACGAGGACGATTCTAAACACATGTTTTGTTTTTGTGTAAAAATTCATTTCGAGAAAAAAGAAAAAGAACCAATATTTTCTGTATGTATCAGGGCTTTTTTCTCCAAACTAAAGTGACCAAAAACTGACGGTGCTAGAGGTTCATGATCCATGCTCTTACCACCTTTATAAAAAGAAATAATCATTATCATTAGAAGAATTTTGTATACAAAGAATAATCACAGTGCGAGTCTTTCTGCTAGGAATTTCAGAGAATTGAATTTAACAAAGATACTAACTAACAACGAAAAGCTATCATTTACATAGCATTTGACAAAGGACATATCATTGATTTCTTAAGATTATCCCATGTTATTCAAGCAAGAATCTTTTTTTTTGAAAAACTTACTAATGATCTATCATCATAATTATTATTTTTAACAATATTTGACCAATTAGTTTGATTTGAACCAATAAATAAACGTAATGTTTCAACAATAAGACATGGTGTTGGGTGACCATGATCACGTATTTGTACATGTAATAATATTAATGAATCATCTATAATTAAATTTGAATCTGTTTGAACAATTAATGTACCATTAGAATATAAATTAATAAATAATGGTGATGTTAATGGTGATAATTCAAATGTAATATTACCATTTAAATTAGTATCATTATCAAATGCAATTAAATTAAATAAAAAAAATTTTCTTGTTATATCACGATTAATCATTATAAATGGTGATTCAATATTTAACTGTGGACAATGATCATTTTCATCAAGAATTTCAATTGATATTGAAATATTTATTGATTGTGGAGGATTTCCATGATCGAATATAGTAAGAAATAATTTATAAAATGACATAATTTCACGATCAATTGAACCATTTACAGATAGAATGATAAATACTGTTGACTAAAAATAAAAAGAATTTGAATTAGATATGTTGTTTTTTTTTTGTGTTTTCTGAAAATAATTTTCATATAGTCTTACTTCAGAGGTGTTACTTTTTTTTGTTATTATTTCAAATGGAATTATATATTTATTTTCATAATCAATTTTTTCATCTGGAAACCAATGAGAATAAATACTCATTTGCCCATTTGGTTCATCTTTATCATCATCATAACATGATATTATACCAATAATTGTTCCATATGCACTATTTTCCATAATTGACCATGATACATTTTTATTATTATTAACATTACATATTGGAGAATATTTATTTTGACTAATAACTGTAAATGTTATTGTTCCTCGAGATGATAATGATGGTGTACCTAAAGAAAATTTTTCAAATGTAAAAATATAAAATAAGAATTATTAATTATAATCTATAGATTAAATATGTATTCAAAGGCAAGAAAGGAGTAGTTAGGGCTTTCTTTTGAATTAATTTTTAATTAAAAAAGAATCAGTTATTGAGAAAGTCTAGTTTTTAAAATTTTCTATTTTGATTTGAAGCGTTTTCATAAAATTTAAGACTGTAGATAAAAGCCGGCTATTAAAAGACAATGCATAGATTTCGAGGATGTAGTTTACCCATGATAATTACCAAAAAAGTGATTTTTTTTTATTGTTTTGTTTAAAAGTCAATATTTGATATAATCATTTAAGAAGAAGAAAAAAAAAACAAAGAATGTTTAATGTAAGACTAATTTTCCTCCGACATAGATTAGAGATGAGTGTTTTATTAATTAGATTTATCGTTCGATTGTATCTGTCACATGAAAGAGTCTTTTTCCGAGCTTGTCTCTGATTAACAATTAAGATTGATTGTCTTATTCTAATTGTTTCCGAATTGAATTCATATCGATTTTAGTCGATTCCTAATTCGAATCCTTCTTAATTGGACCCTGATTAATCTTTGAGGTTATATAATATTCATAACTCGTGAAATCACTATCTTCATATTCAAAACCTATTCTGCAACATAAAGATCGACCTAATCGTTATATTCGCTATACCAATTGCCACTTGTTTGTTATAGCTCGTTTTACGACTACAGAACGAAATTAGAATGTGCTCAACTATTCGGGATTGAAGACGTAAGTAAACAATAAACATACCTCTCATCCTCAAAACTATTTCTGTTATTCATTTCACTTATATTAATTAGTTGGCAAACAAGGATCAAATTAGGAATAAACCGAGTTTGGAATAGATTTTTTTAGTATGGGCTGGATTCGGAAAGAATTAAGTTGGAACATCCATGAAAGACATAGTTCAGTTACTCTCGTTGGTTTTATTTAGTATTCGAACCATCGTGACTGAGTAACTACATTGCTCGACATATATCTGCAAGGCAGTATGCTCAAACTTCGGTACCATCTACAATGAAACAATTCTGGACAAATTACTAATGGCTATTTGTCTCATATCACTCGCTCGATACCATGATATCTATGTTGTGACATAGACCTGCTCTTATGATTAGTGCGTATGAGAAGTTCAAGCAATTGAGCACAAAAACTTTTCGTCAGGTCAGCCTTCTATCTAGAGTTTCAGCTAGCATTAGTCGTAGGAAAGATCTCGATCTATTGAATCTGTCACAAAGCAACATTCTATATTGCAAGATAGCCAAATGGCAGAAGTATTCTTTCTTCCTATTTAGTATTCAAATGAATATTTTATATTATAATGAAAAACTAACTTATGAAATAATGCGTCATATTTAATTATTAAAATTCTTAAAGAAATATAAAAAATTTATACAATACCTCTATCTCTTGCTTCCACTTGTATAATATATTTATCTTGTCGTTTTCGATCAAATTCTATCATAGCTCGAATAATACCTGTATTTGAATCAATTTGAAAAATTTTTTCATTATTATTAATTATTGAATAAATTATTTCTCCATTAAGATCTTGATCATAATCCTGAGCATGAAGATGAAATATTTCATAACCATATGGATTATTTATTTTAACATGTTCATTTATAGTTGCTAACATATGATTATTTTCAAATTTTGGTCTATTATCATTTTCATCTATAATATTAATATATATATTTAAATATGTTAATTTTGATAATGGTCGTCCATGATCATTTGCTTCAATTGTTAAATTATATGCTGATATATATTCATAATCAAGAAAATTTTTTGTACGTATTTCACCTGTATTTTCAGTTAAACGAATTAATTCAAATGGTATTAATGATGAATGATTAAATTTCCATGTAACACGTCCATTATCACCAGAATCACGATCAATTATTGATAATGATAATATAAGAGAATTTATTGGTGATGATTCATTTAAAAAAAGTTTTACTGAATTTGTATCAGGTTCAACATTATGTGGATAGATATCAATTATTGGAGCATTATCATTTTCATCTAATACATGAATTAATACTCTAAAAAAAAAAGAATTTATTAATAAAAATTTTCTACCACACAGCTCATATAATTTCAGTCCATTGTCGTGATCTGTGTATTATTTTTACATACTAATATTATGGTAATAGTTGAATGTACGGAAGTCTTAGATATTGAAACCACATGTCTATACGAAATATCTATTTATTGATTTAATACATTATGTATCTTTTGAGAATAGACGAAAAAGAAAACATTCATATTTTCAAAAAAAAAATCCCAATTTTTATGTATGAACTAGTTGACGAGAACAGATCTAGTTCTACCATAATACAATGATATAAATTTACATCAAGGATTAATCAAAGATTTATGTAAAATACTAATAATAATTAATTATAAACTACGAACAATAATTTGTCGAGACTAGAGATATGTAGAATCGAAACTAGAGATTATAGTTAAATATTTTATGGTTTTAAACGAATTATCTTATAAATCATATTAATCAGATGATAATTCAAAAGACATGGCTCGCAACAAAAAAAATACTAGTCGTCGACTAAACAAATAAAAAAACCGAGTATTCAAGGGCATGTTTTAGATGTTATATGAATAAATTCTAGAATAGTTTTCTCTATACCAAGGTCGAGATGAAAAAAACTCACCCGTGCATATCGAAACAAACTAAATAAATAAATGAACCATAAATAAAACTCATCATATCAAAGATTAGCATGGCTTATAAGAAATCTTTGTTTTAAAACAATTTGTAATTTGATTTCAATAGAAATATTTTTTTTGATTCAAACAAAAAAAAACAACAACTTACGTGCAAAAATCTGTTTTATAACCTTCACCTCTATCTCTTGCTTCAACTTCTAATCGATGCATTGTTTGTGTTTCATAATCTAATAAACATTTAAGACGTATATCACCTGTTATTTGATCAATTTGAAAACAATCATCATGACTTATTAAATAATAATTTATTTCTCCATTAACACCGTCATCATCATCTGTTGCATGTACACGACATATAATTGAATCAATTGATATTGTTTCACTTATATTATGTATAATATAAATTATTTGTTCAAATTTTGGTGGTGAATCATTAATATCATCAATTATAACGAAAACATGTAATATACCTGTTTGATTATCACCATCATGAGCGATTATATCAAATTTATATGATGATATCAATTCTCGATCAAGTTTTTGTTCAACAACAAGTGATAAATCACCACGTATTAAATTATAACGAAGAGAAAATGGAAGTGATTGTGATGATAAAAGTGAATAACCTTTATAAATATAAACAGAAAAAAATATCCTATCAAGTTATTTATTTCTTAATATTTTATTTGAACAAACCAGAAGGACTATAAATAAAAGTTTGAGTTTCGACAAAAAGTTTTACTTAAACGCAGAAATGAAATGAATAAATTTGGAATATGTCACTTTAAAAATTCGTTTTTTTTATAAAGTTTTTTACATTGAACTTTGTGAGTGATTTTATTAACCTTTCTTTTAATTAAAACCAATTATCAGTCCGAAACTAACTCTAATAAACACTTCAGAAAGATCGAAGACTTAACTATTATCATTAATCAATAAGATAGAAATCGACACAATTCCATTGAAACTTTGTGCATATGATCATCTTCCGTATCAAGAAGTATCTCTAGGAATGTGCAGTCTCAGTAAACTGTTCATTCAAAACTAACACTGATACACTGACTACATCAGATCGTTGTTTATTGATTTACCCGACATATCATACTGTATGGTTGTGCCAATGTTTCAGTGAACACCAATCGAATGTAGTCAATGTGAGTTTTCAGTGATCAGTTTACTGAGACTGCACATCCCGAAATATTCCTATAATTTATTTTTCATAAAAAAACAACGTTCTCGTCTATGGGGTCAAAAGCGCAAGAACGTCAACGATGGTCATATTAGTAGCGTAACAAGGGGTGGGCTAGATCGTGCGCTGTCCTACCACCAGAAGAGAGAAAAACATAATAATTATCATCATTGACATTATATTGCATGCATTTTCCCCCAGGATCGTGGGGCACTTTCACACCATACATAATCTTCTTGTTAAGCGACTCGATCATATATACAAAATTTCAAAGGAATTGTACCAATTTCTATCTTATAAATGAACAATAATAATTAAGTCTTCGATCATTCTGAAAACTTCATGAGAACTAGTTTTGGACTGACAATTGATTTTAATTAAAAGAAAGACGAATAAAATCACTCAAAGTCTTTGATGGAAATAAACGAATTTTTAAAATAATCTATTCTGAATCTATTCGTTTTATTAAGTCTAAACAAATAAGGTATACTATTCCGTGTAGGTTGAAAGATGCAAATCTGTAAAGAATCGATCAAAAAAAAAAAAAAAAAAAATATTCCTGTTATGTTAAAAGTCTATTCTTTATAGGTTACTCATTATTTTATATAAGAAAACTTTAAAACAAAAATATGATATTGAATAACATACCAATAATACTATTTTGTCCTTGATCATAATCAACAGCTGCTTCTAATTTAATCATTGCACCAATTTGTGCATTTTCAACAATAGTTAAATTAATATAATTATTTAAAAAAATTGGTTTATGATCATTACGATCAATAATACGTATTGTTATTAATTCAATATTAAATTTTTCACTATTTATTATTATTTCAAGTTCTAAATCACACCATGTATCACAACGACAACGACGTAAACGACATAATTCATCACGATCAATTTCTTTACGTATTGTTAAGATACCACGTGATGAATGATTTATTAAAAAATACATATAAGGAAATTCATCACGTTTAACAAGACTAAAATCAACATTCATATTATCAGAAAAATTTTTTGGATATAATAAACGTCTTAAATTAATAACTTCAGTGTGTACAGGTAATTTTTCAATTGTACGAATTATAAAATGATCATCTTGTTGTTGACAATAACAACAGGAAAACATTATTAATATTAATAGAATAAAGATAGATGAAGACATGGCATGATGATAGAAATATATATATTTATATGAAAAAAAAATCTGATCATACCATTAGATCATCATTCTAGAACGGAAGAAAAAAAAAGTGATGTCAATTAAACTATCTTTCTATCCGGAAATGATCCAACAGACATGTTTGTCTATCATTTTAATGATTGAATTACATAGAAAGAAACAAAAAAAAAACAGAACTATTGTTTAAAATATGAATACACCCTTCAGGAAACATCTTGTCTAACTAAATCGAAACTATGACAAGTCATTCGAGTCAATTGTAATATGAGATAGAACGTATTAAAGAAAGCAATCTATAGAATGAACTATATCGTGACTATTAAAAACATCTGATCAAATGCCCTTTAGTATTATGTATCTCTCTCTTTCTGTTCACTTGTATTTATCTATCTTTCTTTTTTTTTTCTTTCTCTCTTCATTTATAAAAAAATGATACGAACAAGGCAAAACAAAATACAATAGTGAAATGTATCTTATGAACGAAAGAAGAAGCAGAAAAAAACGAAACCACGATATTGTAAGGCTTTTTTATTTTAACAGTGAAAATGACATTTTACTAATTTACACATCTTTATTTCGATTAATACAAAAAAAAAAGAGGTATAGAAGGGGATGAACAACAGTACAAGATGTTGTTACGATATGTATTATATTTAGACCAATAGAACTTACAAATACTCGCACACGTTTAATCAATTTTTCTTTCTCTCAACTCTCTCTCTCTCTCTTTTTCTCATCATAAAACAAGATGCCGCCGATGTAAGCATCATTTCTCGTATCTTCTTTCGTGTAATTGCATTCAATACCATCTTTATTACTGAACAGTTCATTGTCACTCAAGCAAATTGGCTTGAGGCTTCTTTATATGATCTATACATGCCACTATATATTTGACTGTCTCGTGCATAATATACAAAGTGTTTTATGTTTATTCATACTACACGCCATACGTAGACATGATGATAATGGAACTCGTACGGTAGCACTTACTATTCGTTTGTTGAAAAAATCAACTTACTTTCTATCGCTTATATGGATGATGTTCAAGACACTAGCACCTGTTCTCGTTCTTTCACTCATTCACTCATTCATTCTCTCTTTCTCTCTTCGCTTCTTTCTACTAATCAAAGAAATAGAGATAAAAAAAAGAAAATAAATAAACAAATACTTCGTCGGTCAGTACTGACAGATGTTCATTTATATGTCGCATGAATGTGATCAATCAAATAGCTGACAGAAAGAAAACCGAGAATTTGATGTTGTTTGCCTTTCATTAAATTTTTTTTTTCTTTCCGTATTTCCATGTTAAAGTATTATAATCAAATAAAATAAAAAGAACAACAAGAAGAAGCAGAGGAAGAAAAAAAGAAGAATCTTTTCATTATCTCTCATCTATTTGCAGCTGTCATGTCCAAGTGGATGTCCTTGTCAATATGGAAAAGATATAAAAGATATTTCTTATCTAAGAAAGAATAATGAACAGTGATGTCATCAGTAATTTTAAACATTTGACTTACCTCAATAGAAGACTCAAATGTCTGTTCATGATTCTCAGCATTTTGTAACATACTTGCCTCGAGCTTAAAAAAGAAAAAAAAAAGAGGTCAATCGACACAATATGTCGTGCACCTTTCTCTCTCTCTCTCTCTCTCTCCTTTTGTTGTTTCATTCTTTCTGGTCACTAGCGAGCATCTATAAATAATAATAATATAATCGTACGACTAGCGAGAGTAAAAAAAAAAGAAAAGAAACACTGATAGAAATTAAAAATTAATCAATATCATCTTGTAACCGTTTTGTTGAATTGAATATAGCAATAGTAGTCAATTGCCTTGGGGATTTGAAATTATTATCATTGAAATTGAATGACAATTGACTATAGTCAAGAAACTACCTCATTCCTAGTTTTTATTTGCCTTTTATTGACTATTCACGTCAATATATATATATATATATATAATCATATTGCTCAAGCGGAAGAAACAAAAGGTGTGTAGGAAAAAGAACATCTTCACATTCTATATGGTACTCACAGTTTTACACGCGATAGAATGATGAAGAGTTCAATTAGAAATTTACGTACTTTTCCCCTCTCATTTCCCTCTCTCTTCTTTAAATATATATATATATATATATATATGTATTCGATTAAAATGTTATTATATTTGAACCCTTAAAAAAAAATGTGTCGATGACAATTTTATTCTGAAAGATGTAGCAAACAATTTTTTTTTCTCCTTTGACTCATTTTTTTTCTTAATACGATTCACTATTCATATATATATATATATATATGTATATACACACGGTCGTTTGTCTCGTGTTAAAGCGGCTAATCAAATCAATAAAACAAGATAGAAAATGTATTTGCATTTATGGACATGTTTAATAGTTATATCAATGAAGTATGAATTTAAGTATATAATATCATCTTATTACTATGAAAAAACATTAATTTTACCTGATTATTGACAAAATATCTAGTAAAATATATTCAGATAAATATTGTTTATTATAAGTTCGGTCTTGTTCGCCTAATTTCTTCTGTCTATTTCTATGCACATGAAACAATCGTTCGCTTATGCTCTGTTTGAGTTGTGTCTGTTGTCGATATTCAATCAAGATCATTGTATATGCGTGTATGTAAGAGAAGATGACAAGTCTATTATTGGTCTCCTATGTTCAGCATCAGAAACAGAAGCAGTAATAATGATTACTTTGTAAGCATATGATTATGCAATCTATCGTCTTAACGAGAAGATTACCTCAATGCACGCTCATTGAATATATTCAATAGTCAAAACAAAAGCAATACAACAATTTTGTCTCATTCTTTCGTTACTAGTAACTCTTACTATTCATAATAACTCTTCAAGTCATGACGGCTGTCTCTGTTTAAGTTGAATGACAAGAAAAAACAACATACTCGATATCATCTATTTGACGTGACCTAAGAAAGAAAATAACAAAAAAAAAAGAAATGAAATTAGAATCAACGATTTCCGTTGACCACTCCCTTCCTATCTTCTGAACTACATAGAAAGAAACAAGAAAATTAGATTAGTCTCCTTGCGTGCTATAGCTGCCGGGCGACACAGTTGAAAAAGTTCAATTAATGGACCCGATTTCCATCTGATTACGATGTATGTTGTCATCATAAATCGATTTCATCAATGAACATCTTATGTGTTTGCTCTCGAAAAAAAACACAATTCTTTTTTTCTTTTTTGCGTAGGATTTACTCTCTCTTCAATGTTTAAATTAGAAATGTCTTAGTCTCTTATATATATATATATATATATATTCATTATACATAACAAACAATAAAAAATGACAACAGCTGAACACTGCTGTTACAGTCATAAAAATAAAAAAAAAGAAAGAAATGGTGAACCCGAGCAAAACGACATCGACCAACATTCTATTCATGTTTATATTAGCAAATCAACACGTTCTATTCCTACTCACTGTGTATATAAACCCTGGAGGTTGATGACAGTGATGATGTTGTTGTTATTGTTGCTACTAGAAAGACGATGAAGATAAGATTTCACAATTGTTGTTTTACGTCAATCTTATTTGTTCTTCATCTCAATTTGTTTGTTGGTGGTTATGACACGAACAAGTCGTATATATGTATGTATGTTCAATTAGAAAAGAAGTGCGAAAATGAGAAAAAAAAAGAGAACATTACAATTCTTCTTTTTCTCTTTTACTTCTTTTCTCTATCTCTCAAGTACAATCGATCATGATGATGATGTAATCTTTTATCAACATTATTTCCAGACATGGTCATGGTTCAATTGAAAATCGAAAAAGAATTTTTTATGTTTTTTTTTTTTATCAATCCTTTTCTTTCTCTCTCAGGAGACTGTCGGGTTCCGCGTGTGTAATTTTACATAAGTTTCTCATTCTCTATTTAGATCTCAATATAGTTTTCAAGAGAAACAATCATTATTATTGTTGACAATATCTCTTGAGAGACATGCAAAGTGATAATAACAACATTGTTACTGTCATGAGACATTCACATACTAACATATCAAGGACAAGAGAGCATAAGGAAAAAAACCGATTGATTAGATTTATTTCTATTTGACTTTTTGTTTATATTTGTATAATCATCAGTACAAGGTACAGGTTAGATTTAATTAATGAGAAATGATAATAAATAGACGAGAATGATCTTGATCATGATAAATGAAGCTTAAATTCAGGAAATTTCTTAACAATAATCAAGCGAACAACTATATCTCCTGGACATTGCGTGTAGACATATATATATATATGAACGGTACACATTGTCCATTAAGATGAATACACGACTAATCATGAGATGATTCTTATTGTTTTCATAAGGTCTGAATTAATTTATAAAAAAAAAAAAGAAAAAAAACTTATTAAAAACATTTCAATCATTTTGAAATATTACTTTCTCAATAGAAAAAAAAGAAAAGAAAAGATCTAATCTATGTTCAATTTAGATTCAATAATGATGATAATAATAAAAAAGTGGACATGCGGAATACATATATATATAAATATCACTGTTAGATAGTTTAGAATTGAATGGCAATTGCATCTGCTGTGACCTCGAAATAATGATTAGTTTTCTTATTGTATATGTTCGCTTTAATGAACAATGATAATAACAGAAAATGAGAGAACAAATGTCAATATGATAAAACTATTTTCAAACATATAATGATTATGACATTAAGTTATTTAACAAACGAATAATAAAATATACTGTATAAGTGAATCAATATATAATTAATATAAATATCTAACAATGATAATAAGAATCATATCTATCATTAAATTATTGATCTTATGATTTTGTCTATCAATTTTCAAAGATATCTATTATAAATTATGAAAAAATTTATTGAGTTCTTTTTTGTTTTCTTTTTCTTATTCAAATGATCTAATTCAATATGGTAAATATTAAAAGAATTCATAATGAATTCTAGACATTATTTTTGTTGAAAATACTTCAGAGGATTTTCATTTTATAAATGGAATTTTACATCAAAATCAGTCTAATTAATCATGAAAATGCACCATACATTTTTCGCTTGATCATAACATCAATCAAATGTTGATCAAAGAACAATTCATAGTAACGACCTTGATTGGAAATATATATATATAGATACATCAAACATCAATTGAATAGTACATTTTAAACATTTAATTGTATAGACAAAAGTCTAAAGATGGATTTTTTTATTGATATTTTTCAAGAATATAGCGAAGAAAGCAAACTTTGACAAAGTTTAAGAAAAATTTTTTCCTAACAGCTCGAAAGGTGCATATAGAATTTCTTAAAAGTGGGCGAATGTAAAAAGTTTTTTTCATTAAAAAGAATGACCTTTTCTTGGAAAAAAAAGAAAATCGTCGTAACGTATGGCAGGTACACACACCCTTATCGTCATCATATGCTTGGCATGTTAGTACAAATATTTTACTAATAAAGTAAATAAATAAACATGCGTCAAATGACGCTATAAATTTCATTAGTTTATTGTATATCTAAATCAATGGTAGCTATATTAGAAATTAACCTTGTATGACACTTTTAATTCAATGAAATCTTATCACGGATAAATGTCAATAGATTTGTCAATAACATATTTCTTAATAACAAATGTATGGAATGTTTATAGAAAGAAAAAAAGAACAAACAGTAGTTGAACACTCATGTTATTAGACAAAGAAATATTAATTATGATATAAACAAACTTGAATATATCGATTGTAGATTTTTGTTTTTGAAATTGATATTTGATTACATTTCATCGGCCATTTTATAAACGTAGATTAACATGGACGATAGAAGAAATATTTTGTCCTTTTCTTTGAAGAATTATTTATCATTTCGAAGTCATATTTAAGTTATAGTTTTCATTGCTTGTTATAATTGTCTTATGTATTCCTAGATAAATATCATAGCAATCTCCTATGCTCATCAGAATATTATACAAACCGCTTATGTTGAACTGAATCATATGAACAATATGTTAGAAAATACTTTTTATTAGCAATGTTAGATAACAAATTAAAATGTTAATAGATACATGAGACAAATTGAATCATAAGAATTGTAATAAAGATTTATCTAATATTCACTTGAATTACGTGAAATTTGACTTGTTCACATAAGAATCTTGGCAGTTTATGATCGATAATTCATACAAAGTTAAGTTATCAATCAATCAATGATGTATCGATCAATCGAGATAATCGATATGTTTATTGTCTTGTTTGATAGGTTGATAAAATCATGTGTGTTGAACTAATCATCTTTTTTGTGGAACGTAGATTATTAGTAGATTTATTTTTAAAAATAATTATGTTTTAATTTGAATATAATGAAAAATTTTTCATCACTAAAAAATTCATTATTTTTTAAAAATAATTTCAATTGAATTCTACATTGAAATAATTTAGACACGAACAAAAAAAAGGGTCTCTCGGCTTAATCAAGCACATTTTAATTAGTTAATAGTGCAGAATAGAATCTATTCAATATGAACTTTGAATTATAAAGAAAAGAAAAGTCACTAGATCTTAACGAGGCCGTCTTTTTATGGCTATTTTTAGTTGAACTTTTCTTTGAGTTCTTTTGTTAAATTTCCTATAGTCTTGAATAATTTGCCAAAAAAGAATCAGTAACATTTGCCATACTGTTAAGAATTTATTTGTTAATAAATATCCGGCAACTAAATATTAACTAAAAAATTAAGTAAAAATATCGTCAAACATTTGCGTAGATAAAGCTACTATGATTAAATTTATATAAGAATACCTTCTCAATTATAAATAGTTCAATCTAAACAAAGAGTAAAAAGATTTAATAAGATAGGAAGATTTTCGAAGTAGGAAAATATGTAATCCGTATCAATGAAATGAATTTTTGCCTCAAAATACATATACACAATATTTTATTAAATATACTCAATATTATTAATCTAAGAAAATCTTAAAATTGATTTGTGTTTTTTTTATTGAACGCGACGATTTCAAAAAATTAGTGACACAACCAAGGGTGGGCCAGAGCAGACGTCGCCCTACCATCGAAACAAAGCAAAACATAATAATTACTATCATTGACGTTATATTGCATGAATTACTACCGAGACTATAGAGAACTTCCTCACCACCCACGATCTCCTAATTACGTCATTAAAAAAAATAGAATCCATAGAAAAACAAATTTTCAGCATCTAATTTCTATAAGTTTTACATTGCGATCCATTATATATACAAGAACCCCTTTTTTTTTCTTTTCACAGATTTCTAAGAAAATTCTTAATCTATAGTAAAAGATTTCAATATCGATACAATAATACAAGACATGAACTATGAAGACGAAGGCGTATTAAACTCATGATTTATATTATCTTTATATTTTTATTTTGTGTCTGTTAATATTAAATATGTTTGTCCAATATGTTCTCAATCATGTCTGCATGTGTAGAGAAATTTTTTTTAAAGTACATCTCGTCTCTATTTATTAGTTCTCACATTCAATAATAACACATAATTAAAAAAGAAAAAAGTTTCGAGAGCAAATATTTTAATTGAGTAAAACACGATGCGTACAAACAATCTTTATAAACAAACTCAAGTTTATTAATTTCTAACATTTATGTCCATAATGAATCTAATAATTAGCAGTTGCTCAATCTCATATTTAAACAAATGATTAATAATCGGTTTCAAAAATTGCATGCAATATAAGATTAAGACTAAAAAAACATGTATGTCTGATAATAAATACTAAACAAGAAGAAAAAAAAGGCATGTTTTTCTATGTTCATGGCAATTAAATAAACTTTTCAAGCCCGAAGCGTACAATGTTTACATGTTGACATCTTGTTCACTGTAGATTATATTACTATGATTAAAAATTTCATATCCCTTCTGGAATTTTTCATTAAATTTCAAATAAGATAAAAGAATATTTATTTAATCAAACAACATGCATAAATTCGCATATTATTATATTTATTGATGATCTTTCATACAAATTCAATCTATTAAGCATTTACAATAAAAATGTATGACAGGTATTTGAGTACATATAAGTACGGATAAACTAATTCAAATCACGATTTTTAACAATAAAATTAATTTCCTTTGTTAAATATCATTCGTCGAAGAAATTTATTATATGATATATGATGATCATTATTTGTGTTGAAAAATTTAAATAAATCATCATTTATTGTATTTGAAATTTGATGTTCATCATAAGTACGTCGAAGACGCCATCGACCAACAATCGTATGATATTCATGAACCTATTTATGAAAAGAAAAAATTTCTTAAAAAAAAAATGAAATTTTCTTTCGTTTTTTCAATACTTTTTGTAAATATCTTTTCAATTCTTCTTTTGAATGAAAATGATCGGGAGGTTTTGGTGGAGCTGAAAAACATAGCAGAAGAAAATATTAAAATTCTTATTAAAAACAGAAAAAAAACGTACGTGGTACTGCGGTAAAACTTGCTCGAACAACATAAATCAAAGCGATCATTAATAAGAAATATGTAATTGTAACTTTAGATATCATCATGTTTATATGATCTAAAACAAATCTCCAAACGACTACTAACACTTTTATAATCTTATAAAAGAAATCATAAAGAATGTTTTTCATACTTATATATATGACTTATTAAAAGTCCTTAGACTACGACATAAAAAAAATTATGAGATACCGAGTGCACAAATATTTTTTTATATCATATTTATCTCAATACATCTAAGTGAACCGAGATAAAGGCATTGAAAACAAGTCTTAACTATGCTCATAAAAAATATCCTCCAAAAGTTCAATGGTCTATATACATATTTTACTCCTTTTTTTTTCAAAGAAAACCAACTTACGAAAATTTTCTAATGTATAGAAAATTTTTTCAGTGAATGCTAAAAGATCATTCAGCTATTATATATCTAATTTTACACGTAAAGTTCATCTTTCTTCTATCTTTAGATTAGTAAAAACAAACATATTCATTATGATGGAAATAGTAACTAATAGCAATCTTCGTCAACAGAACTAACATTTCGAATATTAAACAATTTGACATTGAGATCGAGATGAGATTTTGTTATTGTCGAAAATATTCTTTTGTTTTCAGTTGTCAGTTCAATCATAGCCGTCATGATTGAGTAGCTACGTTATTCGACAATGTGCTCACACGGTTCTGTGTTCAAAACTCGGTATCACAAGCCATGGAATGATCTTGAACAACTCTTAAACGGATGTATGTCTCGGATTATCTGCCTGATAGCATACTGATTACGTTGTGACATATACGACTAGTATGTGGTTGGAAGCTCAAAAAATTGAGCACAAGGAACTCTACGTCAGGCTGGCTTTGTGTCAAAAGCTGCAGCTAGTATTAGTTGTAGGGAAGATATCGGACTATTGAGTCTGCCACTATTAGGCAACAGCTGATAATGCAAGGTAGAGCTGTTCTTTCTCTTCTTTCAGTTCACTCATGTTATTATTATTGATAATAACACAAACAGAGATTAGCAAGGCAATTTTTGTGAAAAATTCGCGCGGACATAACTATTGAATTAAAATCATATTGCAAATTTTCTATTGAGTTTGATTGTAAACAAATATTTTTATACACCATTACTTGAATAAATCTTTATCATTAATTAATATTGTGATATCAAATAAGAAAAACTTTGTGAAACTTTGCACGCTATATGAATTTTCTCAATACATTAGAAGAATGCTCTTCTGATTTACTAGAAGTGTCGTATTAGAATTAGCCTTAATGCTTTGACGTTATTTGTATTGAAATTAATTAATGTCAAGATATTAACACTATTTTTAATTCTAATACATAGATTACCGATGACTAGATCTCAGACACTCTAATCTGAGAATTTCCCAAAACCGAAGAATCTCCTTCTATTTTGAGAGTGACACTTCTTGATGTAAAGAACCTTTGTTCTGTTATTGATTCAGTTTATACTTGTTTTCTTTAATATCATTCTTTGTATGTGTGAAATTATCATAAGATAATATCATTTGCTTATATTTTATTAGCATAACAAAGTATAAAATTTCTTAGCGAAAGTTCTTCAACATTCATGAAGTTGACTATTTCTGTGTTAAGATGATTTGAATGAAATTTTCCACGAGATGATGTAATCTTTGAGTAATTATTCCTTGTCGTCAAATTATCTAACTCCTGGCTACTCGCCAGAATAGAAGGTCATGAGTTTTCTAAAAGCTTTTTTAAGAAACCTAGTAAACTTTTGGAAGTTTTAGCACCTACAAACCTAGTTTTCGAGTACCTAGCTTCTTAAAAACTCTGTTTAAATACCAGAAAAGTTTCAAAAAGATCGTTGACTTTCTAGATAAATGCTACCAAACAAGTAACCTACAATAGAAGAACGCTTGTAGAAGAGAAATATGAATTTCTATAACAGACGGCCATGGCCTTTTATTCTGGAGCGGGAGGAGGGAGTTAGCACAATTATTGATTAATTCCCTTTTTTATTTGAATCTGTTGACATATTACTTGAATGATTCATTATATAACCTCTAAAGTTATGTAGGATGGTTGTTTTGCAATTATGATAAAGAAAATGTTAAAGTACAGTTAAATAATATTCATTATCTTGTCTGAGTCTTTTAATAGTTTTTGATCCACTAATTATGAAAAAGAGACAAGTGAAAAGTTATTTTTATATAAAGTAGATAAATTCTATTGATAAAGGGAAAGAGAGCTTTTTCCACTGGAATATAGTTTGACATGATACTCACAATAAAATAAATGTTAATAGGCATGATATAGAAATGCATTTTACTTTTACTAATGAGCATGATTTTAATAAAATAACGTTAATCTTTTTCATTACTATTGATGAAATAGATATGACGTAAAAAACTGATGTAAGAAAAAGATTATCATGATAAAGATAAGATCGATTTTAATCGGATGTTAATGAACATATTTCATGAGCATCTTTCAATTAATCTTCCTAAATTAAAAACCATAAATATCACTATAAATTAGTTTTGGATTTGGATTTGTATATTCAAACGAATATCCTACACTTTCAGTTAAAAGTTAAAAAGAAAAGAAATCATAAGATTATAGATAGTTTTTATGATCTAATAACTAAAAGATTCGTTCAGATTTGGAATTTATAGTTTTATTATAATGACATAAAAGAAAGATAATAAAAATAAAAAAGTTTAATTATTGATTGAAAAGAATCGGGTTTATAATTGATTCCTATGAGACTATTCTCTCTTGCTAATCATAACTTGAAATAGGATTGAATACAAATTCTATTTTAACTACTACTGCATTTATTATTCAAATCGAAAGGCTATCTACATATTTCTAGATCCATAAAAACCAAAGTTAAATGCAAGAAGTTTTATACAACAATGTATATTGAAAATATTGAATCGATTATGAAGAATTTAGAATTGGTAAATATTCTGAAATAAGAATTAGCAACTCTATAGTACAAACAAATTAAATATATACAAAATACCTCACAAATATTACTTGGTATAATTTGAATAATAGATCAGAATTAATTTCCTTTGATCGAATTGAAATCGAAAGAAAAAAACAAGATTTTAAACATGAAACATACAATATCGGTTCGATTTACCGTAGATTTCTTTTATTATCCAAAGTAAAATCAGGCAACGTTAAAATTTCTGAAATAATAAACAACATCAATTAGTTATCAGTAGTGAATGTAAATATCTCAAACTAGTTCATATAAAAGAAAATTGTTCTCTTTCATTATATCTTTTTATTAATATGACAAGTCACGCAATTTTGATGCCGAAACAAGATTAAAATTGATTATTTTGTTCTGATATTAAAATACATGACAACCGCATTTCCAGATAGTATTAAAAGTAGAAATTAGTTGTAAGTTTTCGACAAAATATTACAAAACTATATACTCTAGTCTCTATTTATCGATAAAAACAGATTTTTAAATATTATTTTGATATAGAACTTGTATTAGGACAAAAAAACAATATTGTAATTGTATTTATCATTAGAAAAAAAGCTTAATTTTCCTATTGTAAATATTCACTGTTGCGCCATAAAAATTTTTTCTTCGTATATCCAAGTCTGATAATTATCTTAATTAAATTCTATGCATGAAAGACTTTGATTAACGATGCTAGAAAAATATTCTAAATGGATTTAAGTCTCTTAAAAACACTCTTGAAAGATCAGATGTATAATTGCAGTACTCTAAAATATTTTCTAGAAAATAGTGGAGTACCTCTCGTACAATCTAACTACGACATTAGTTTTTTTTTATAGTCGTAAAAGATAGATAACAGATCATCATATCATCAGGCTCATTCTGTTTATTTGAAATGAGATCTAACGAAAAAAACAAATTTGATTTTTTAAAGACTAATATTCAACATTTAATGTTAAAAGAGATATGCGATATTTTCATAAAAGACAAATAAATTGATCGATCATTTTATGAAATACCATTCTGATTGAAAGACTCAACATAACAAAAACAAAAGAAACTAAACTAATTTTCCTTAATATATATTTGATCATATGAACTTCTATTTAATAAAACAAAAAAGATAGATGATAACAAACTGTTGTATATTGTATTTCAGTAATAATAATATTATTTATTATTTTAATTTACATAGTCTCAAACTTAATATTTATAATAATATCTTCAAGTAAAGTGTTAAAAATTCTATTACTTTCTAAAACAAACTTTATATATATATATATATTTATTTATTTTCTTTTCTCAAGACAATCTATGTTGAAACTCAACTTTTCTACAAGAAAAACAAGTTAATTATTATCTCATATCTAAAGTCTATATTATATTATACCGAAGAGAATCTTAAAAGATGATTCTTGTTCGATAAAAGTTTATCGATCTAAAAATTTTCTTTCATGATCCCTCTACATAACATACTCTTGGCATGTGAAAGTCAGTCGACATGGTTTGCATAGACTAATAAATACCAAATACTTATTTCACAGTCACTATGAACAGGTGTGGCTACGAAAGAAACAAAGGAAGTATAACATTTGACTTATTCGTAGGAGGTTTTAATAGAAAAAAAATATTATCTGTACTGATTAGAATTAGTGACTTAACCAGAATAAAATCTTACATCAGCACTTGTAACATTTTCAAAATTTCCGGAGATAAGAGCAGCTCGAATATTTCTCAAATAGACTCAGTTTTCTTCATTAGAAGTTTCAGTTTATCTATTCCACTTTTTTTTATCTATATAAAAAAATTAAGATGATTAGACAAATAACGAGATATCATGAATCAACATTTTCAAATTAAAAATTGAGATAACGATAATCCAAAGCTCATATTTAAGTCAAAAATGCACTGCAAAATTTTTTACAAGAATAGCAATGAGAAATCCTACTGAGTTAGTCAAATGATCTTTTTATAAGGCTAAAAGTGAAGTCGTATGTGATAATGAAATGCCCCATTCTTCTGAGAAAAACAAAAACGAAAATAACATTGATTATTTCGCATATATGTCAGTACTAA